TACAGTAAAGCGAAATGTAAACGTACACACCCCATGCTATGATAAATATATCCAACATCTGGGTTGACCACACCTCCAGAAGTATAAGTGGTCTCATTTGCATAATAACTGGAGCAAGTCTCATTGTAGCCTTGAGCTGTTTTGTGCACCAACCCGAAGCCGCCTGCAGGCACCCACCTCCTCCTCCTCACCGACACCCAGCCGTGCTCAGCACAAGATAAAGCCGTTAGGGTTCCTTCTTCACAAGCTCAGATCTGTCCTCGTGTCGCTTCATACTGAAAACCTTTTATTGTGAAGCTGCTACTGTGGTGAATTTCACTTAAATTCAGACCTGTAAAGATATTTTACATAACACTTTGAACTAGGTGTGTACTTTAATTTATTTCTTTGTCACATCCTGCTCCAACAGGTTTTTAGTCCAGATGAATAATGATGAGAGCCAAATCTGTGCTGCAGCCATCTGTGGAAGAATAAAATAGCTGACACGCTAGAGGACATGAGAGGCTTTGACAGGTGATGTGGAAAACATCGATTAGCTCTCGACCCAGACACCTGGCAGCAGGTAGCTTATTCTAGGCAGGAAATTACCATTTTTATCACTGATGTGCGGGCAGCAACCGATGAATGGATTAAAACGAGACTGATGAAGACTGGGATGAAGCGACAGCATTTATGCAATTGGTATCAATTTACTTTCACCTGTAGATTATTCACAGTAGCATTAGCTTTATGTAGCTTGTTGGTGGAACTGAATTCAAGATCCTTTATTTTTACCCCATTTTCTAACTTAATTTTTTTTAACCACATTTTCTGTTTTTAAATAAGAAATTAAAGTAAGAGGATGTCGGTTTATGCCCTGCGATAGACTGGCTCTCTGTCCAGGGTGTACCCCGCCCGATTGCCCGTTGACCGCTGGAGATGCCCCCCCCCCCTCAGGGTTGTCCATCATTTTCTTGATTCTCTGGAGAATCCTTCTTTGCATTATCTCCTCCAGTGGTTCAGAAACTGCCGAAACTCTGGCTGAGTCCTTGAAAGGGCTTGGAGTTCCTCCATCTTGTTGGCCAGTGATCTCACGTCGCCCATTATGATCGATGGAAGAGATGGTTTGAATTTCCTCTTTCTCTGTCTCCGTTTTGCTCCCGCTCTGCACCCACGCTTCTTGCCTTTTAGCTCATTTGGGATTTGTGGCTTCAGTTGAGGTATTATTTCAGCCTTTCCAATGTTAATCAGCTGCTCCCGATTGTAAACCAGCTTGTTGCCATGGTTACGCATCATAACAAATGCTCAAAAAGTGAAAAAAGCTAAAAAATAGCAGTAAAAATCCTCCAAGCTTCACAGCATCAGAAACAGAAAAGTAAAGTGTCCAAAAAATACCATTTTTCTTGAGAAACTAGAAGAAAAAATGCCCAAGAAAAGGCTAAACTTACATATAGTCAACAGAGCTACTCCAACATGCAGCCGCCCAGAGCAGCGCAGTTCCGAAAAAAAAATGCACCTGCTGCATCCACGTTTATCCACGTACTCATTTCAGAAAAATGCTTATAATCTACATTAGCTAAAGTTACCATAGTTGTAGCATTTTTACACTGATTTCACTGAACATTCTAGATCAACTTAGTATAGTTTTAGCTTTTTCAGGCAAATTCTACCAAATACATTAGCTGAGGTTAGCACAGATCTAGCATTTTAAGACCACTTCTACCAAATAGATTAGCTAACGTTAGCATATATGTAACATTTTCAGACCATATATTACAATAGCTCAAGTTAGCATAGATGTAGAATTTTTAGACCATTCCTACCAAATACATTAGCTAAGGTTAGCATAGATGTATCATTTTAAGACAATTTCTACCAGATAGATTAGTTAAAATTTGCACAGAAGTAGCATTTAGAAAAATTCCACTCCACCAACCAGATTAAATTTTCAGACAACTTCTACTAAAGACCATTAGCTCAAATTAGCATAGATGTACCATTTTAAGACCAAAAAATTTGCTAAAGTTAGCACAGATTTAGCATTTCAGACCATTCCTACCAAATACATTAGCTAAAGTTAGCATAAATTTAGTATTTTAAGACCATTTCTACCAAATACATTGGCTAAAGTTAGCATAGATGTAGCATTTTCAGACCATTCCTACCAAATACATTAGCTAAAGTTAGCATATATTTTGCATTTTAAGACGATTTCTACCAAATGGATAAAGTTAGCATAGATGGAGCATTTTCAGGCCATTCCCACCAAATACATTAGCTAAAGTTAGCATATATTTTGCATTTTAAGATTATTTCTACCAAATAGATTAGCTAAAGTCAGCATAGATGTAGCATTTTAAGACCACATCTTACATTAGATAAAGTTAGAACAGATATAGCATTTTCAGACACGTGAGAACAACTGAACTCAGACATAAAACCAGCGCAAACTCCTCTTAACTAACGTGTGTTTGCATCAGCATAATCCTGCTTAATCTTATTTGCTAGCCAGAATATCTAGTGAAACACTGCACCAAGTTAAACGAGACTCAGAAATGAATGACTGATGTACATTTTACATTGGAGTATTTCAAGATGGCCGTCACAGCTAATGGACCTTAGCATGTATAAAAAATGGCTACGACTTGGTCCGTTTTACCAACTTAAAGCTCACATGTGCTGTGGTAGCAGAGTTATATTCACATACTCCGAGTGCTAAGAGATGGCAGGAAACATGCATGAGATTACGCTGAATCTCATTTTGAATTTTTGACTAAAATAGATACAACAAAGGATGATCTTAGTATAAAACTGGCAAAAACAAAAAGCTGCAGATGCTCTGCATGAAAGGAAAAATAGGCCCTTGGAATAAAGAGGCTCCAATTAAAAGTGAGCCAGAAACACAAAGTAACGGAGTTTTTTAAGGAGCTGGATCATCGCACCACCCGTAACTACAATAGCAACCGCCTACAGAGGTCATCTGAGCCTCAGACTTGCAACACGAAACAGCAAATCCTTGATGTTCTTTTTTCCATCCTTACCTGGAAGCTGAAACCCAGAGGAGCACGGGTTTCCTACTGTAGCGTTTCACTGGCAGGAAAATCAACATAAACCTAATAAGCCAAACATTTTTGTTTATTCTAAACTCCACAGAGAAGAAACAAGCAGTTTTTTTTCATCTTTGCCAACAACACAGCAGCCAAGAAGCTCCAAAATAAACTGGACTCTGTATAAATATAATTAGATGCTCTTTTATTCTACTCGCCTGGAATTAAATCTGAAAAACAGGGATGAGAAGGCAAAGGCCACATCTCTGGAGGGAAACAGGCTGATACAAACTGAGTCAGATGAGAACGGTGCAGCGACTGAAATGAAAGACGTGTGTCTTCATTGATGATCATTTCTTTTACCCAGGTTAGAGAATTCACTACGTTTGCAGCTTTGTGCTAACGGCTGTTTTTTTTTTTGTCTCCAAACTGTCCATCAGGGTTCGTGTTACGCTGAGTCCTTCACACCGGCTCTGCTGTTAGAGCAAACAGGATCTCACCGATAACCTCTGAGTACCAGTGAAGAGTTGCTGTCCTCAGCGGCATATGGAGAGGACCACACTGACCGACTGCACCGATTGTTCAGCTAATCACTGGAATGGGCTGATTTAACATGATCCGGAGAAGGCGTTCTGCCCTTTTGTGACTGAAGACCATGGTCTCAGATGAAGAGGAACTGATTCTAGTCCCTGCTGCTTCACACGCACACGTTCCGATGAAGCCAACAGGACCGCATCGTCTCATGTCCTAGAGGCTACAGCTACACAAACATTAGCTGTTAGCATGTCTGGCTGCTACTGTCCCATCAGCATGGCTCTATTCCAGCCACGTGATTGGTCCAGCGCGGTGCAACACTTACAACAATTGGCTGTTCATCTGTTCTTGTATCAAAGGTTTACATCGACCAGTTCTCCTATGTCTATCGAGGAAAATGTTACCGTTTTATCGCCCAGCTCTAGTTTCACCAAATGTATGAAAGGTGCTTTACTATTAAAGTCAGGTTCAGACTGACCCCAGACTACGATCTGGATGTGCTTTTACAAAAACCACCTTGAACATGAATGCTTGAATAACCGTCTTCCTTTAGATCCACGTGCATATTTAACAGAAAATGAAGAACCTCGTCTCATAACTAACTGCATGTAAGCACACCCTCAGCAGCAAGCTGCTTCCACCTTAATGAGAGAAAACGCAACATGATGTTGGACTCAAACACTCGGAGACAAAAGTGGATGGAAACCGAGAACGAAAACCTCCAGAGACAGAGAGACCACCCACCACGCCAGTAATTGATTGCTGCATTGACTGCGTTTGACATCGCTGCTCTTGGAGGCAGAATAAGAGTGGCGTGCATGTGCATGCACGCGCACACACACACCAACAGCACACCCAGAGGTAGCAGACAGCAGGAAAGCCATGACTAATCAATCGTCCTCGCAGCGGGAGTCGACGGAGTAACTGGAGAATTAAAGAGTTTCCTCTTGAGATTCCAGAGCTGCACCACTACACATCCACACACATGCACACCCGCTCCTCCAGCTTCTGCTTCAACGTCTCCGGCAACAACCCAACGTAAAATAACCCCACACCCCGGGAGTGGTGATCCTCACAGACAACGGGATCAGCTACAGATGGTGATCCACATCCTTCACCACAGGAGCTCATAAACGCACCAAAAGCCATGAAAACTTGGATTCACGCCAATAACTAAAGGCTGAATTCTATCCGAGCATTGTGTTAATTATTCATCTCGCTCTGAAACAACAGGACTCAAATGAGAAGCACTAGAAAATCAGGGTGAAAGTCACAATTTTCAGGTTATTTCAGCCCCTTTATGGGTAGATGTTTGGTCTCTAGTGGCTGAGACGTGGTCCTGAGGTGCTCAGAGGAAGTTGTTTGAGCAAAAAAAAAAAGATAAAAAGAGGAGGACTGATTCATGTAATTGTAGAAGAAGAATGCTCTGGATCTACTCACTGATCTCCGAGACCTTCACCGTCACAGGGGTGGACGACTTCTCCGCTGTCATCTGCCACCTCCCTCCTCCTCCCGCGCTAAGCCCTTCTTTCTTGACGAAGGCCCGGACCCGGCATCTGTAAAGCCCTCCGTCCTCTCCGGTGAGACCCTTCACCCCCAGCCTGTACTCCCCCACTCCGGTCTTCTCCAGGTTCGCTTCCCTGTGGCTCCCCAGCGTGCCGCTCGATGTCATGTTGGAGATCACCACGCCGCTGCGCTCCATGGTGATGATCTCGCGGCTGTCGGCCAGCCAGGTCACTTCCAAGGCGAGGGCGGCCATGTTGTCAACGGAAACGTTGCAAAACAGGGTCAACGAGTCTCCAGGAGACAGGAGAAGGGAGGTGGATGAGGGAGAGGAGTAGGATGAAGCCTTCACGTTCAGGGTATTGCCTTTGAAAGACAGAGACACATCAGTCAACATCTTTACAGACGACAACCTAAATAAGCGTCACGATGACGGGGAAGAGCCGTTCCTCGATCCAAGGTCGCACTCCTGAGTGTCCACCCACCCTGAGAGCACAGCGGATCCCTCTTTTCTAAAATAATGAAGAAAATTCTAACAAACTATTTAAATGGATCTGTCTGAGAACTGAACAGTGTCATAAAACACCAGGTATTACTCATCAGAAGGACTTCAGACGTTATAAATGCTTTGGCCTACCGGAACTACTACAGCAAGCAATTTCCCTCTGGGATTAATAAAGTATTTTTGAATTGAATTGAACTACATTCAGTAGAGACGTTAAGTACCTATTTGATAACCTGAACCCTCTTTCCTAACCTTACCTAGACCCTATTTAGGTCGTATTCATAAAAGCATGTAGGAAATTCCAGCTGATTGAAAACTTTTCTGCATCACTGTAAAAGATAAAGTCTTAACTGTGGAGGATGTCTTTTCTGATAAGCTATAGGTAAAAACCAGGATGTGGGAATGTCGTCTGTCCACAACAGCCACTGCAAGTCTGCCTGGAAGAGACTCGAGCCTGTCAGCGAGTTTAAGCTTGCATCAAGTAAAACGATAAAAACAAAAAAATGCATTTTGTGTCTTAGGAATGTTGTTTTATAAGATTTTATCAAATGTTTCAAACAAGAACTAAAAGATTAAGTTATTAATTTTCTGAACTCCAAATGCAGTTTATGTAAAACTAAATAAAAATGTGTAAATAAAAAGTCGGTGTCCAAATTTATGGACCGCATCCGTCAAAGGTCGCGTTTGAACGCTGATTACATCACAGTGACGCTACAAGGCGGTCCAATTTCTAACGGATCTGGTGGATCCTTCCACTATCCCAGGATTCATGGTAGGCCAAACAGAAGATTTTTGATCCGAGTGGGAAAGGATTTCAGTTTAAATGTTTATACGCTAACATCTGTAATTTAAATAACTAGCTCACATGATGGTGAAGATGCTGTAGCTCTTTGATGAGATGCTCTCTTTAGCATCTGCTTAGTTCCATCCAGGTTGCTAGGCAACAGGACATACGCCGAAGTAAGGGCGGTAAATCTGAAGGTTTAGTGTCTAATTTTACAGCCGTCCACTTCTGGTAGACAAAGGACCCAACCTGCACCCCCCAACGGGGATTGGGTCCTTGAATCCCTGCATTTAGACAGAAAGTTTCTGGCTTATTTACAGGAAACTAACCTGTTAGCTAGCTGAATTCAGTTGTGATTATTTTAAGTCCTTTAAATTTAGGGTTGCAGGTTCGCTTACGGCTCGGTCTGTCACAGTTGTTGTGTCCTTGGGCAAGACACTTCACCTGCCTTACCTGGCGGTGGTGGTTGGAGGGATCAGTGACCCCACCTCTGTCAGTGTGCCGAAGGGCTGCTGTGGCTACAATGTAGCTCATCAACACCAACGCGTGAATGTGTCCATGAGTTGGGTTAATGACTGCTGTGTTGTAAAGCACCTTGGGGTCTCTAGGTCTGTAAAGGTGCCATTTAAAGGCTAAAACTTTAATCCGATCCTGATATGGCCATACGCCAACATGTCTCCACCTGGGAGTAAAGGGCAGCTTTAGGTTTCCCAGAGCCTTGTGTCAACAGGAGACATTTAAAGTCCCGTACAGACCAGAGAAATCAAAATGTCCATCTTTCCCATGCACCTTCGAGTCAACACTGGAATCAGGTCTCCAGTAACAACATCAACAGCAGCAGAATGTGGTCAAAAGTCTGTGTGTGGTGTCTGAGAAAGGACAAGGGAGACAAAGCCAACTCTGTTTGACGTTTCTCATCCTCTTTACTCAAGTCAGTAAGTCAATATGAAGTGGCGTGTGTGTGTGTGTGTGTGTGGCTTCATTACAAACCACTGGGTGCTCTCCAGCACTTAGAGGATACGGTAACCTAGAAAGATAGCAGATACGGTGTCCGCAGCAACCGCCATGAATGAGTGAGAGTGGGTGAAAGTGGCAGGGCCTCTCTGAGGATGGGGTGAGGCAGAGACACGGCCAGTTTAAGGTCGTGAACCTCCTGGGAGAGAGCAACATGGGGGGGTGAACAAGTCTCAAAGAGGAGAGGATTCTTTAAAACAAATACAACCACACACAAGGGTGAGAACTCTCCCACGTTTCTCCCCTGACTCACCCGTTTTTTAATATCACTACAGATCCAGCGCTGCCCTGCTCGAGCTAACCGGTTAACATAAATCAGGATCTCCACAGGCCTTCTGACGGACCGTGATGAAGGTTTTTCTAAAGGGTCTCCTGACGATGAGACACCAACTAGCTTCCATCTTTTATTAGAAATCAAAAACAACGCATTCACATTTCATTCAAGTGAAGGGCGGAGCTCTGGGAGTGCATAAAGGCTCAGACCTGCAGGAATTGATTTCCTTCACCAGGTAATCAGGCTTATGAGCAACGGAGGCTACGAGTCATTTCTGGTTTGATCAAGTTCCAGTCGACACACCGATTCAACACAATGCCATTCAAGCGGGTTACAAATCAGCTTTCCTTCGCTTTAATCTGCCCGTATCCCCTCACACATTACCAGCAAACGGATTACGGTGCAATGGGGAGCCGGTTGAGCAGCGCTCCTGGAGTGTATGTGTGCCTTTAAAGAAGTGTGTGATACAGTTAATCATCATTTTAGGTTATGGTTAGTTACTTTGTGTCTTAGCTTTAAACTGGTAAATGGGAGATGAGTTAGATCTCATGTTTTTTGTTACAGAGTCCCAAAGGGGTCTGTACTCAGTCCAATACTGCTTTATGTTTATTTGTACTTTACCTTAGAGTCCTAAAGACTGTTTTTTAAACCTCAAATACAGTTTTTCCCCTATACGTTGTTTTATGGTTATTTCTCACATCATAAAAATTATCTTAAAAATACTAAAACCTAAAATAGGAAACGAGCTTAATAAGAAAAAATTGAGCTGCAGAAGGGACATCCTCACTCCCCATCAACATTAAAGACCAAGTCACCCCCAACCAGAGTCTTACTCCACTCCCACTTCCTGTTTACATTAGACCTTGTGCTGACTTATGGCATAGAGTGTGAGGAAATAACGATCTTTCCACATAATCCAGTCCTCTCGGACCACTTTCTTATAATCTTTGAGTTTTTTATAACTGAATTCTCAAGACATGAAAGTAAATTTCACTATAGTCGGTCTCTATCTGACAACGCTGTTGCATCTTTTAAATCAACTGTTCCATCTTTACTGTCCTCTGCATCTCAGAGGAACGTAGCAGAGGGCAATATTTTCATTTCTAGCCCCTCACAAATTGATGCCTTAGTTCATAACGTTACTTCCTCTTTACATGTGGCATTAGATGATGTTGCCCCTTTAAAAAAGAAGGTAATTAGGGATAGGAAGTTGGCTCCCTGGCTTTAATCTCATTTACGAGCTTTAAAACAAAACTCTAGGAAATTGGAGAGAACATGGCGCTCTACGCACCATGAGGAGACCTACTTATCCTGGAAAAATAGCCTTGTGCTTTATAAAAATAAGCTTCGACAAACTAGAACTGCTTATTTCTCAGCGTTAATTGAGGAGAATAAGAATAATCCTAAATTTCTTTTCAGTACAGTTGCCAAACTTACACAGAATCATAGCTGTGAGCCATCTATTCCCTTAGCCCTCAGCAGCAACAACTTTATGGGATTTTTCACGAGTAAAATTAATTCTATTAGAAACAAAATCTTTAGCATCCTCCCTAATGCGATTTCTTCTTCCTCAGTAAGTGAGGCAGCATCAGAGGTGACTGTAGAACCTCATCTGTGCTTGAACCATTTTGATCCAGTTGAGCTTTCAGAGTTATCAAAAATATTAGCTTCATCTAAACCTTCAACTTGCATTTTGGATCCAATCCCAACCAAATTATTTAAAGAAGCATTTCCTTTGGTTACTGCCCTATTCAAGAAATAATCAATCTATCCTTAGTGAATGGGTATGTACCACAGGATTTTAAGGTTGCTGTAATCAAAGCTTCACTTACGAAGCCTTCTCTGGATCCAGATGACCCAATGAATTATAGACCAATATCTAACCTTCCATTTTTATCCAAAGTCCTGGAGAAAATAGTGGCCATCCAAGTATGTCAGCATTTAAACACTAATGATCTGTTTGAGGAATTTCAGTCTGGTTTTAGAGAGTATCACAGCACTGAAACTGCATTAGTCAGAGTTACAAAAGATATTCTCATGGCCTCAGATAAGAATCTTATGTCTGTTCTAGTCTTGTTAGATCTCAGCGCTGCCTTTGACACAGTAGATCACAATGTTCTTGCAGAAAGACTTGAACATATTGTAGGGATCAAAGGAACAGCGTTAGGCTGGTTTAAATCCTACCTGTCTGATAGATTTCATTTTGTAAATGTATCTGACAAATCGTCTTCATACTCCAGGGTTACTTGTGGAGTACCACAGGGTTCAGTGCTTGGACCAATTCTTTTTACTATATATATGCTCCCAATTGGTAAAATCATTAGACAGCATGGGATAAACTTTCACTGTTATGCTGACGATACTCAGTTATATTTATCCATTAACCCTGATGAACCTAATCGGTTAGGTAGATTACAAGCTTGTCTTGAGGACATAAAAAATTGGATGACTCTAGACTTTTTGCTTTTAAATCAAGACAAGACTGAAGTTCTCATCTTTGGACCAGAAATCCAGAAAAGGAAATTGCTTAGCCAATCACCTGACCTGAATGGCAATAAATTAGTCTCTGAGAACAAAGTAAGGAACCTTGGTGTTATCTTTGACCAGGACATGTCATTCAAATCCCAAGTTAAACAGGTTTGTAGGATTTCCTTTTTCCACCTTTGGAATATTGCTAAGATTAGAAGCATTCTTTCCAGGAGTGATGCTGAAAAACTAGTTCATGCATTTATTACATCAAGACTGGAATACTGTAATTCATTACTCTCAGGAAGTCCACAGAATGTAGTTAAAGTCTTCAGCTTGTCCAAAATGCTGCGGCTAGAGTTCTGATGAGAATTACAAAGAGAGATCATATCTCTCCTGTCTTAGCTTCTCTACAATGGCTACCTGTTAAGTTCAGAATAGATTTTAAGATCCTCCTTCTCACATATAACGCTCTTAATAATCGAGCTCCATCATACATCAGTGACCTGATTGTTCCATACGTTCCTAACCAAGCACTTCGCTCTCAGACTGCAGGTTTACTGGTGGTTCCCAGAATATCTAAAATTAGGATGGGAGGCAGATCTTTTAGTCATCAGGCTCCTCTCCTGTGGAACCAGCTCCCAGCCTTAGTCCGTGAGGCGGACACTTTGTCTACATTTAAGAATAGGCTTAAAAACATTTTTATTTGATAGGGCCTATGGTTAACCCTCTGATGCATGAATTATGAGATCTTCAACCATGATTTTTTAAACAATTTTTTTCATTCATCTTTAGGTGTGAATGTTTTTTGTAACATTTTGTTAATTTACAAATAATTTATTACATGTCCATATCAGTGGACAGCGTGCATTCTGAACATGAAATATGGTGGCTTGCCTTACTGAAGTCCAAATGGAGGGGCTCACATACAATAAAGTCTTAAACAGCTGTGCTTAATAGCAAAAATAAATAAATAACAATTTTGAGTACCTGTCCACTGTAGTGACCATTATGCATCAAAGGGTTAAAATCTGATGTTAGCCTAGATCTGGACAAGTGGGGGAGTAGAGGGAGGTGGAGTGTACAGTCGGTAAAGACGGCTCTCCCTTGCCCTGCCTCCAACATGCCTCCATCTAAATAGGATAGATTATCCGGAGTTATCTCTGTAGTTATGCTGCTATAGGCTTAGACTGCTGGAGGATACACTGACCACTTTTCACACTCTACTTTCTTCTACAATCTGCTCTTTAACCGTCTTATTTTCTGCTATTTCAGCTGTTAATTTTATTTTTTCTCTAAGTGTTTTTCTCCCCAGAAGCAGCTACAATGATGTTCTGCTGAGCTGTGGTGGTCTCATGGAGGGGGCCATCGTCTAGCACACTGCTGCTAACCACTTAAACATTCTCTCTTTCCTGATAATAACTTTTTGCTTTCCTTGACGTTGGATGTGCTACTACTAATTTATCCGTTTAATTATAGATCCACTAGGATAAATACAAAAAGTTTATCTCTCGCCAAATAGAATACTTACTAAGAAATCACAATGTAACCATACATTGCTTGGTGTGTGCGCGTGTGCGTGCGTGCATGCGTGCGTGCGTGCGTGTGTGTGTGTGTGCTCCGTCTTCTCCATCCCCAGTGAGTCGTGGAGGATGGCTGCTTATACCGAGCCAAGATCCTCTGGAGTTTTCTTCCTGTTAAAAGGGAGTTTTCCTCTCCACTGTCGCTATATGCTTGCTTAGTATGAGAATTGCTGTAAAGTCACTGACACTAGTCAGTGACTTGATGCAATTTGCTGGGTTCCTTTTATAGGAAACATTTTTTCTGATTGGCTTAATAATCTGACCTGGATTGGTATGTTTATTATGTGAAGTGCCTTGAGATGACTCTTGTCGTGATTTGGCGCTATATAAATAAAATTGAATTGAATTGAAAAATGCAACAAATGCTGTTGCCTAGCAGACCAAGAGGGCGGAGTCGCTATCAAATACACACACAGGCTCACAACGACATTGTGACATCACAAAGGACTAAAGTGCAAAACTATTGACTACATGTGTCTACAGCACAATTAGATACACATTTATATAGTTTATCAGAAAATAAAAGTTGATTTGGGGGTGACTTGCTCTTTAAATTACCCATAATGCATTCTGCATCACGTAAACAAACAACGTCTCCTCGGCTGGGTGTGGTTTTACCTGAAGGAGTGACAGAAACCGCCCCCATCTCTTTTTTGCTCTCCACGATTTTAGTCCACTTCCCTCCTTTTTCATGCGTCCACTCTGCTCCAGCGCATTGATAAATCCCATCATCTGACGTTGTCACTCTGGTAATCACAAGATCAAACACTCCGTTCCTGCCAGGAACCAATCGGATGCCTCCGTCCGAGAACCGGTACGTGTACGTGGAACCTGTGTTGACATCCCCCTGAGGTCCAAACACCAAAATATCCTCTGAAGTCGTGCCCTTCTTCACTGACCAGATGACGGACAGGTAGGTGGGGTAGCTGAACTCCCGGGTCACGTTGCAGGAGAGCGTGAGGTCACTTCCTTCTGGGATGACTTTGGGTGGCGTAGCAGGGGAAACTTTGAGGGTGTTGGGAATGACTAAAGAGAAAACAGAAGACAAACACAATATAGTGTTGGAAACATTTAGAGCAGGTCAGAGGTCACACACATGATGCCGCACTGTAAACCTTAGTAAGTTCACAGAAGTCAAAAATTATTTTGCAACAGATTACACAAAAATATTTAAGTGATGTTTTTAAATATTTTTAGTTTAAAGAAAATATAATTACATTAGCAGTTACCCTAAATTATCTCAATGTTATCTTATAAATATTGATGTCTCAACTTATAATTAGGGAGTAATTAACTCAAGATTTTCAACATTTTTCAACTCATTACTTAGAAAATATACTCAAAATGTTAATGTTTTTTAACTCAAACTTAAGTTGATATAACTAAAAAAAATGTTGTACTACACAAACTGAGATAAGTTGCTATCAGCACATGATTCACACACCCAACCAGTGAGTGAAGCATCCAAAGCCAAGGCATGAACATCCAGTGTGAACCACCACAGTATTAATTAAAGTGGAACGGCATAGGAGGGTCACTCCTTTGACCAACCTCCTCGCTAATTTTGCCAACATGATACAACAAGTAACACCACATTTTCAGCACTGAATGAAGTAACAACTAAGAACAACAATGGACAGAACAAAATAACTAAAAACATAACTACCCACAATGCACCTCACCCACCAGTTCTTTGTTGTACCTGAAATCCACCAACATTGCTGGTTTGTGCTTGTTTTTCCTATGGATCCACAAATATTTTAAGAAATATATACGTTTGTATATCAGACACAATTTAAGTTGACAAAGATGAATAGAATAATATAGAAACATAAAATAATAAATTAATATTTAGTTCATATACTCATTCAAGTTAAGTTGTTCTTTATTGATTTATTTCAGTTATGGTCACTAAAATATATATATTTTTTCAGATTAATTAAAACGTTTGAGTTCTATGTACTTAAAACAAGGAGATGATTGAACTAACTCAACACATTTGAGTTCAAAATTTTTTTTTTTTAGTTATCAGATTCACTTACTCAATATATTTGGTTATTTTCAACATTTGGGTTTACAATGCGTTGTAGCCGGGAGTAGAGTTCGACTTAAAAACGTTGGAATGAGTCATCGTTGAGCTGTTACAGAGACTATCGTGGGCGGAGCAACAACATCATAACACTATTCTTAAGCAACACGCATCTTATCTGCAGGTTGTTTTTCAAACTCGGGGATTAGAATTAGCTGGTTGGTTAGTTGGCGTTTTTTTAAAATAGCCAATCACGCCTCTGTATTGTCACAGACTAAAGCAGTTATCGAGCAGATAAAGCTGTAAATGTGTTTGCTCATGTACCCAAACACACCCAGAGGAGTGTCCAGGAAACCCAATAAACCCTTTCACTCTCTCTTCCTTCACTTCTTTTGTTCCTAATATTCCTCTAAATGAGAGACTCGAGAGTCTGAGCAGGTTCTTAAACAAAAGCAAACGTCGCTGAAGCTGACACAAACCACTCATGACTCTTTTTCTCTTCAGGGTAAAAACCGAGACTCTCAGCAGCAAGCTCTTCACAACAGGAGTGTGAGGACAGATGTTTGGATGATCACCATTTAGGCAGCGAGGACATGGGGGGTTAATAATACTGAGAGACAACCACGGAGTGAGGTTTGCATGCCTGAACACAAACAGACATGTGGGGCGTTTGTTCTAATATTTTACAAAAGATAAATCTTTAAATCACTTATCTACACTGAAATCTCCATAATAAATCAACCATTTCAGCCTTTTATATTAAAGCTTTACATAGGTGCATGTGTGATCATTTCTTGAAGTTAACCAAAAAAGCTTAGGGAGAAAGTTTTACTCCTACTTTCACGTCTCAGTTTGTCACTGTACCATGATGCTGCCGCCGCTGTGTTTGACAGTTTCTATGACTCGGTGTCACGTTGACGTTCACACAGAGTTTGTTGTTGAAACATTTTTATTTCATTGGATCAGATTTGACTTCTTTCCATCAGAGTCATCAGGTTCTCCTTTAGGGAGGACCACCTACTCTCCAGTGGATGGCCTCTTGAAAGCCTCTTCCATCTTAGAATCTGTCTTGGTAATCATTAGCTAGTTGGCTACGAGTACTTTGTTTCTAAGAAGGTCAGTGAGGGTTTCAAACTCCTTCCACCTCTAGGAGGATTTAAACAAAGCAGAAAAGTCATATGTGTGTGATATCTGAGGTTATTAAAGCTACACTGTGAGGGTTTAAAAGTCGTAGGCAGACTAATTAGAAGGATCAGTGATCTAAATGAGCACAAGGATCCATAATAATTAAAGTATGTTCATCTCCACGTGCAGATGCTCAGCTCTAAACGGTTCCTGCAGGTTTGATCATGTTTGCATAAGGTTCCTCATTAATCCCAAAAGTGAGCCGCACCTCTGAACACAACTCCTTCAGTTGAGTAATAATGCTGACAAGTGTGGTTTCACAACACGGAGGAATGTGTGGGCTGTCCGGTGAAAGTATCAGGAAATTTGTTTTTAGGCAATCCAATCATTTCCAGAACCTCTACAACCCCTCCCTAGAGTGCCAACATCATTGTTGACAAGGTTCTGTTGTTCAGTCGTGTTTGGACTGACATGCTAACAGCTAGTCAGAGAGGACAGAAAAACACGGAGAGCTTTGATATTCCAGCCTTCCATTTTCGGGCGCTTATCTGGGATCGGGTCACAGGAACTTCCCTCTCTCCAGCTACTTGAGCCAGCTCCTCTGGAGGAATCCCAAGGCATTCCCTGGCCAGCCGAGAGACATAGTCCCTTCAGCGTGTCCTGGGTCTCCCTTTAGGTCTCCTACCGGTTGGACGTGCCAGGAAAACCTCACCAGGGAGGCGTCCAGGAGGCATCTTGACTAGATGCCCGAGTCACCTCAACTGGCTCACATGAAGACAGGGACGTGCAGGAATGGACGTCCCTGTCTTCATCCACGATACAAAGCTACCAAGGTCACCTTGGGTTCCTGACGTTAAAGAGTTATGCTACAGGTGTCTCTGCCTCAGCACACCTGATTTAAGCTATGCTGGTGATTAACAGGCTTCAGCAGAGCTTCACGACCCGCTGAACAAGTTTTAGAGCAGAGAGACAACAAAAACATGCATGATGGTGGCTCTGGAGGACCACGATTGGGCATGCCTGGTCTCAGATGTTCTTGATAGATTATTTTATGGGACTGACGTGGTTCCAGTTGGAACTGGTTTAAATTAAAGCAGGTCACCAACAGACACCAGTCAGTGTTTGTGCAGAGGGGAGTATCTACCACGTCTAACAGAGACACTACAAATAATTGCGTTTTGGTCCATCAATTAAAAGGAGCCTGAAAGGAGTTTGAGTCCTCGGCGACCTCCCCTTCGCTCGTCTCTTATGCAAGCGGAGGCCGCACGAGTTTCTTTGCACAGACGTCTGATGAGAGTGGTGCTCAAACCCTAAAGTAGATTTTTTCCTGGTGCATCTACAGACAGTTGTACCTGCTGTAACGTACGCTCTGCATGAACACGACAACCTCTCTCGTATACAAACACACTGCTGCCTAGTTGACTCAGGTCTAAATTTAACAAGGTGTCTGGGGAGCCGCACTGGAAGGAAACAAGAGAGCAGCTGAACATGATGGAGCATTATAGAGATAACTAACCTGCTGTCTGATTACGCTCCCGTCACTTCAGCCCATTCATCTACACCTCTACCAAGAAATCCTCCTCCGTGCAACCCTTACATCCCAACAGCACGCTCTCCTCTCTAAACAAAGATACGATTTTATAGACTTAGGCCGGCTTAGAATAAACATACTTTTAATTCAAAACAGAAGCCCAATTAAAGAGAGAAAAATGCCGAACGTGTGCTTCTGTGGTCAGAAAATAGCACAAACTGAACGGATCCAGCCGTTAATGATCTGATTAACTGGCAAGATCTCCACTGTTCTAGATCACCTGGACCTCAACAGAAGACCATTAAAAAGTTTTAGCAGTTCTATTAAAGGTTGTCTAACTTTTATCCTAAGAAGATTGAACTGTTCCATGTCACGCTCTTCTAAACCGCAGCAATGAACAGCATGAGAAAATATTACCGTTAGCGTTCGCACTACGGAGGTGTCTTTTATCCTAAACAACGTGAGTTATTTTCATCAGCATGAATTTATACCCGGAAATTAAAGTCTGTTTCAGTGAAGCTCCGCCCACACCCGCTCTGACAAAACCAAGCCCCCACAATGAGGCTCTAAAATTGAGTCAAACCCCGGAAATGAAATAAATTGCAGTTCCACCCTCATCCACTGGGGGCTGGTGTCAGAAGCGAGCAAATCCTCATTGACTCCCATGTTAAAAATACCAATTTCACAGCAGAAATAAACATGTTTACAGCCTGGTACCAAAACATGTTTTTGGTTTAAATTATCTAGTTTACACTCATGACAACTCTGAGGGGGGTGAATGATTTTCTCACTCTTCTGTTTAAAGAGCAAGTCAACCCCTACCAGAGTCTAACTCCACTCCCACTTCATGTTTGAAAAATGCAACAAATGCTGCTGCCTGGCAGACCGAGAGGGCGGAGCCGCTAACAAACACACACACACTAAGGCTCACGACAGCATTGTGACATCATAGCATACTTCTTAGCCAATAGCGGTGGCAGATTTAAATAAAAATACAGTGCATAGTTTTTACCTGACAACAGCACAACACTGCCAGTTTTAGGCAGAATATTTAAATTTTAACTAAGATGCACTGAAGTGCCAAATTATTGACGACACGTATCTGCAGCACGATTAGACACTCGTTTATTTAGCTTATCAGCAAAAAAAAGTTTATTTGGGGGTGACTTGCTCTTTAAGTGTATTAAAAGCCTAAAATTCTGTATAATTAATGAGCATCCGACCCACGTGACCACAGAGCTAGCTCTGTGGAAAGGCCTCAGTAGAGCCTCGGTCTGGCCTGGAAACTGCTCCGGGATTTTGAGTCTCTTTGTTTGTGTATTCTTTTTTGGATATTATTTGTGCAATTGTTGGACAAAATGACTTGCTGTGGCATTAATTGCACTAATAGAGCGTCCAAGGAGTCTCCACTTCATTTTTTTCAGTAAGTAAAATTATATTTATGTATTTTAGGTCACTGCCGAGCTGAGCTTAGATTTTAACATGTACTGTTTAACCATGAAATTTAAATGTAATAGGGTAAACCCCAGTGCATTTAACATAATGCTGCACTTTAGAAAATGGGTTGAAATATAACATGTTGGTGGAGCTGGGTTCCGACTATCGGCCTGTGGAGCTCTCGGGAGACCGATGTTTTCCACCCGTTTCTCCCCTCCCCGCAGCTCGGGGCATCTCTGTCTGATCACGGCTTCTGTCTGATGCGCGGGCTGCCGGCTTGTGGATCTCTGGGATGGAAACCTTTCCACCCGGTTCTCCCCAGCGGCAGCTCTGCGCATCTCAGATCGCAGCGGCGCTTGTCTGCTGTGCGGCTGCCGGCTTGTGGAGGTCTCGGAGACCTCTGTGTTCCACCCGGTTTTACCCAGCGGCCACCCTGGCGTATCTCTGACTCAGAAGCTCTGGTGTTGTGCACAGTAAACTCTGGTTGTAGCTAGGTTGCTACCTCCGTTAGCTTAGCTCCCACCTCCGCGTTAGCTTTGGGTTAGCCAGGGTTAGCTTCAGGTTAGCTTGTAGCTAGTTCGACCGGGTGTCGTCAGTTGATCCCAGCCTTACAGCCCCACCCTCAGCTCCTCCTCTCTTCCCTTTTGTGGAATTGTCTGGGCTGGACGGAACCTGTGACACGGTCAAAATGGCGGTGGTGGCCACCTCCCATTTGGCCTCAAAAACATGATATTGGAGCCAATGGAAAGAAGATGTCCAGTATATTTATGTCGATGGACAAAACGCACCTACAAGTGTGTCTTAGGTGCAAGGGTGCCCCCAAGGGGTGACCAGGGGTGGCCATGGCCCCCCCAGGAAAAGCCAGTGTTAACAAAAAAAAATGTTCAGTCAAACCATATATTGATCTTGTTTATTCAAGACTTACTTGTAAAACAAAATAAAATATTACAATTAATGAGTAAAGAAATAATCAGACTTCAAAAAAACATATGTTTCTGCTGCTCACCATTAAAAAAAGTTTTATCCCTATAGTTTAACACAGCAACAGTTGAATTAACCTAAAAAAATACATTATTAAATTAAATTATGGATAACATTTTAAATAACTGAAGTGTATTTTTCTAAAATGTTTATGTTAGTCAAATTTAAGTTAAATCTTTTGGATATCTACTGTTATTTTAATAAAAACGAATAAAGGCGCAATGTGGTACATCGCCACAGACTACATTCAACCAGAGTTACCACAAGCACCAATTTGGTGTGTCACCCCAAACATTTGTTTGACCCCATTTGGCCACCCCATCAAAATTTTCTGGAGGCGCCCCTGCTTAGGTGAGCCTGTATTGTATTGTCTACGGTAGTCTAGCGGTTTAAGAGACGCCTTCCATTTTTTGTGCCACACCGAAGCAGATTTCAAGTTTATATATTTTAGTTTTATTGATTATTTTCTGCAAAAAGTTTTGTCTCTAAAGAAATTTGAATTTGGTCGTTTCCCAGCAGCGTATAAGGCTATTTCCTCTGCTCACCTCACACGGACTCCCACTGGCTATAAAGTAAAACAAACAGGTTAGTCCTTGTATTTTAACCAGTTTACCCGTAAAGGGTTGAAAACAGCTACAAAGTCACCGCCGTGAATGGGAGTCTAACCAGTGCAAAACATACCAGTCGGTTACTTTAACCACTGGACTACCGAATCGGGTTGGACGTTTTATTTTCACACAACCTCATTTCTGTTTTCACAGACAATATAAATATGCAAACGAAGATGGCGGACTGGAAGCTAGTTCACTAACTTTAAGGGTTTTAGAGCTGAAGATCTCATCTTCTGTAACTCTAGAAGGTGGCAGTGATGAGATGGTCTGGGGAAATGAAACTGGGACGATTTCAAACTGGGGAAGACTGATTTATAATGGTTTTACTGGTGTGAACAGCAGGTCAACATCCTGTCCTGGAAACAACCGAGTCGTTAGAGGAGGAAGTATCGGTTCTGATGCGTGGGACCAGGCAGGTTCAGATCTAATCTCTCTCAGGTTGGATTAGCACATTTAAATCATTCTTTGTAAAACAGGTTTTATGGTTTGTCCAGCTTCTGTTTTAGGTCATGTGATCATTTTCGCACTTCCTGCTGCTGCAGCTGTTCCATTTATGGTGAGTAAACCTGAGGAGGTCATGGACGATGATAAAGACAGCTTCATTCATGACGTTTCTCATAACATCTGAATGAATTTCCTGTTCTATCAGAAAAGGTAAAGGTGTTTTACAGCAGCACTATAAAAATTATCTGTTGTCACATCTGAATTTATTTTTTTAGCCAGGTCTCGTTTCCACAAAGTTTCTTATTTTATAACAAAAGTAATTCCTGCCAGAACCACTCAGGTTAAGGAATAAAGAAACATAAGGTAATAATCTAGTTAGGTTTTCAGGAATAAACGGACTAATAAATGTGCTACAGCGCTGTTCGTGATTGCAACTTTGGTTAAGAAACAAAAACGTAACGTAATAGGCGCGTTTTCCCCACGAGTTCCACTCTATCCGGGACCATTTCAGACAGGAAAGAGAGTGAAAGCATTCCACAAACCTGGTCCCGCAACATCCCGCATGGTTTTAGAAGTTACCCGATAACAAGAGAGGAGCAAGACGACCGCAAGTATCCATAAAGATCTTTCCGTTAACCTCGACTGCAGAGGAAAGGACACTCTACTAGTTAAGCAAATAGAAATCAGCATGCGACTTTTATTATGAAAGTTTCCAGATGTTTTACACTGAGTTCCTGTCTGGCCCGGTTCAAACTTCTGTGTCTGAGGTGTTTTGGAAGCGTAGTGCATTAGAAAAATAGATCAAACGTAAGCAACGCATCATTATGCGTCTAAAATGTGGCACCTTGCGGCCGGTGGAATGGAAGCCATCTGCTAGAACAGCGGCTAAATGCAGCAATGTTTCACAGCTGTTTAGCGATGTTGTTGCTTCTGGTACGGTTAAATGGTAAATGGCCTGTATTTGATATAGAGCCTGCTAGAGTCCTGGAACCCCTCAAGGCACTTTACAATACAATCAGTCATTCACCCATTCACACACACACACATTCACACACCGGTGGGGGTGAGCTACGATGTAGCCACAGCTGCCCTGGGGCGCACTGACAGAGGCGAGGCTGCCGAGCACTGGCGCCACCGGTCCCTCCGACCACCACCAGCAGGCAAGGTGGGTTAAGTGTCTTGCCCAAGGACACAACGACAGAGACAGACTGAGTGGGGCTCGAACCTGCAACCTTCTGATTACAGGGGGAGCACTTAACTCCTGTGCCACCGTCGCCGCTGCGTTCGTCTTGCACTTCCTGCCCGGCCCGACCTGAACTGCTGAGCCTGACTTGTGCTGGAAGCGTAGTGTGTAAAAACAAGAGACTTGAATCGCAAATTCGGCGGAGCAACGTGACACGACGTTTCTGGGACGTGTCAGAAACTAAATGCTTTGTAGCAGGTGGAAATGTTCCCATCAATTATAATGCCAGCTGACTGCTGAGATACGCTTTGCAGACGCTATGCAACACTAACCGCCGGAGTAAAGACCTGAAACAGTCACCAAATTAACGCTTTGAACTCTAAATCGAATGTCTGTAAAACACTTATCTGTAGCGACATGGACACTTGGAACGCTGAAGTTCCTCCAACTCAACACTTTTCAGACGAGACGATAAAGAAGAGCAGCTGAACAGTAAATCTGCTACATCCACTCATGTCTGCAGGTCCTCTCGACTCATTTGATTATAATTCATATAAATCTCCATTTCTTTGGTCCTAATTTCACACACGCCAAGTTCTCCCACCTGACATCTGCTTGTGTGTGTGTGTGTGTGTGTGTGTGTGTGTGTGTGTGTGTGTGTGTGTGTGTGTGTGTGTGTGTGTGTGTGTGTGTGTGTGTGTGTGTGTGTGTGTGTGTGTGTGTGCATGCATGTGTGCGTGCATGTGTGTGTGTGTGTGTGCGTGCGTGCACGAGTGTGTGTGTGTGTGTGTGTGCTTGTATGTGTGTGCGCGTGTGCGTGCATGTGTTTGTGTGCATGTGTGCACGCATGTGTGTGTGTGTGCATGTGTGCATGCATGTGCGCGTGTATGTGTGTGTGTGTTCGTGAATGTGCTCGTGTGTGTATTTGTGTGTGTGTGCGCTCAGTTTGTCTTTGCGAGCGCATGTGTATGTGTGTGTGTGCGCACATGCGTGCGTGTGTGCGTAAGTGCGTGTGTGCGTGCGCGCAAGTGCGTGTGTGCGTGCGTGCGCGCGCGTGTGTGTGTGTGCGTGCGTGTGTTTGTGTGCGTGCGTGCGTGTGTGTGTGTGTGTGTGTGTGCGTGCGTGCGAAAACCAAACGATGAACCAGTAATAGTCTAGAACCAGCAGGCTGTGTGCAGGAGGGTAGAAACACACAACCACTAGAGCATTAATAAGTCACAGCTAAATGCTAAATGAGCCCAACCTCCACCTCCACACACACGGTGAAGCATCACCACAGGTCAGAAGGTGTTCACACAATCAGAGGTGTTTCCTCACCTGTGAGCTGAACCTGAGCCACATAGTTCCCGCTGATGACCACGTCCGTGCTTGGCGTTTGACAGAAGTAGAAACCGGCGTCCTGAGACTTCAGCTCTGCAATCTTCAGCTCCACCTCGTTGTCCTTCAGCCGCACCACCGAGATGTCGCCCGACGCAATGCGACTGCTGAGTGACGGGCTGGAGAACGTGACATCAAAGGTGGAGATGATTTTAGTCTTGGCTCCGGTCGCATCCCTGGACATCTCCCATTCGAAATCCTGCAGAACAGCGAGGGATTAGAGCGACTGAGTTCAGCAGTTCGGGTTTATGAACGCATCAGTTTGATGCATCTCCCTAAAATCAGGTTAAAACTAAAAATGCACCGATTCTGGTTTTGAAGGTCAATAACGATTACTGATTTTAAATACTCTGACCAGCAGATTCTGACTTCTCTGTTATTTTTGGGATTTACTAGAACATTTCAATACTGCAAGGAATATTTCCACATTGAAGATCTGTGCTAGCATGAAGTAACGCGTAGCAATGGTGAGTTCACAGACTAGGGAAAAACATCAGATTTTTGCAATGACACGTTTAGAGACTGGAATCTGATTTTTACGTTACAAACATGAATCTGAACTACAATCTCCACACGACCAAAAACTCTGGAGATGTTTACCTGCTCACGAGGACCTCCATAATCTGTGACGTTGCACCTGATGGAGACCGGTTGACCTTCCACCCTTATTAACGGCCCTGGAGACACCGTCACCACTCGGGCCGAGCACCCGCCTTTAGGGAAACAGAAAATATTCACAAGTTTAGTAAAAATACATGAAATTTTGATGCTCAAGAACAGTTTTAGTGATAAGAGCCACACCAGTTCATATAAATGAGCTTTATTCTGAAAGAACAAGTTAAAGGTTACCCAACGCTACAGAACGCCGTCTCAACAGGAAGAGTAGAAACTCACACAGGGCTTGTTGGAGCTTGAGGGATAAAACGGTTGATGATGCAGAATAAAACGATGTGTTTGTCTGCCTGCTTTTATGGAGCGAAACCATTTCAGCTTCCAGCTTCCGGCGTCTGCCACTAAAGCTTGCTGCAGGGCTTTTTTTAGCCACCATCACCCGGGCACCCGGCATTAGCGAGATCATTTTCAAAATCATTTCCAATTTACTTGCAGGAGTTGCAGAACCTCGCTTTGGTCTCGCAGAAATTTAAAACTAATTTAACAAATTTCAGACAAAATTTCTCAAAATGATCAGACTCGCAGGCACCCGTTCTCCATCGATACTTAAGTTTCGCCGAGTCAGAATGATGGCTGGGCGACGTGGCAAAACATCAAACCACAGTTGGTGCTTTTTTTACTGCTTTTAAATGAATTTTGACAGAAAACCTGCAACCATTTCTCCAAGGTGTAGAAGAAGAAGAAGAAGAAAATATCATTTCTATATCAATTCTGTAGCTATAACTACTACTAGAAACAACTAGATAACAGTTCTAGACAAACCGTAGCTCAGCTGGTCGGTCTAGCCACACTCCATCAGCAGCCCCACCATTGGCCAGAACAGGTTTGTGTCATGCCAATCACAGCGCTCTGTCGGTTTGGTTGGTGGGATACTAAGATGGCGGCTCATTTGAAACGGCTTTGGTATCAACTTTGGACCATTTGGACTTAGCGCATATTTAGGTTTATTTAGGAAAAGGATTCATTTGCGTCTTCTTGGACGCAGTATGGCGGACTGCCTTGTTGACGGACTTCTGTAGCGGTGAAAACGCCACGTTGTTTGTTGTCCAATAGCATGAGGAGACCACCGTAGATCCCGCCCATGACTGAGATCCACCTGTGGGTCGTGGCCAGACTCATATCTATAGGGAGTCTAAGTCTACTTCCGGTGTCGGTACAAGATCTGCTCGGGTGCAAGATCGGCTCGGGGTCCTTCGACTGCCGATGACGTCAAAGTACGGCAAACCCACTCGGACAAAATACACTACACATCTATACTGTTGGAAAGAATTGAGCAGTTTCGTTGTTAAAATAATGTTTCTTAAGACGTAAGTTTGTGTTTATAATGCATTTGTAAAATAAAACACTATATTGTCGTGAATTGGTGCTATATAAATAAACTTGAATTGAATTGAATATTGTATTCATAATGTTGAACTCCTCTTTGAGCACATCCCTTGAAGGATCATAGGTCTTAGCAACACCTGTGAAATTGTATTTGCAGGAAAGATGTGTGTCCCGTTTACTGAAGTATTTTGTGCTTAGTTTTTGACGTCTTGTCCATGCGTAGATCAGTTACGCTCATAGCTGCTAGCCAAAACTCTGGAGTTAAAAGTTTTCTGGCTTTACTAAAATACTTGTCTGTACTTATTTGACTGATGGTAGTTTTACTTTCTATTAGACTCCAAATGTAAGTAAGTACTCACTGCCAAATTGCAGCCTTTGCGATTAGAAAATCTCCTTTTGTCACATCGCAACTTAATTGCACATGCAGTTAATCGTTCAGCCCTAATATACATGCAGCTCTATGCTAAAAGTGTATTTTCAAAGAGGTAACGATGGATTTCTTTGTAAAAGTTGTCCATCTTTCCATCAGAAATATTTGCCTGGACCAACGTAACGTGATTACGTAATTCCGTAAGGTTCATGTTCAGCCAATCAACTACTTTGACGTCATCGGCAGTCGACGGACCCCGAGCCGATCTTGCACCCGAGCAGATCGGGTCCGGAAGAACGAGAAAATGAATGCAAGTCAACGGGGCTAAAAACGTTTTTCTCTAATTCCGCTTGTTTTGTGCCATGGATTTCACACATGATGTCCGCGAATTTTGAAGACACATTTTGATACCAAGAACGCGTTAATTTTCTAACAGGGGGAATGATATTTTAGGTTTTGTGTGAAAGTAAGTCCAGAACTACAAATGTGCTTCAGGACGTGACGTCATCGAACCAGACACGGAGAAAACTGAGGGAAAAGGGCTGTGTGCTCAGCAAACCTCCCACAGGAGGAAAGAACCCCCATAAATCTGGTCACGTGGTAAGTAGCAGCACTTTTAAAAACAATGGCGGACAGTGAAGCGGGAGCTGTTGGAGAGGATTGTGCATATAAATGTCAGTATAAACTTGAAAACTGTTAGGTTAAGGGCTTTTTGTGATACATGAACGTTATTTTATTTTGAAATATTACATTAAAAGTGCTTGTATTGCGGTCTCAGCTCGTATGTTCGGCCGCTCGGTGTCGTAGTCCTCCCGCTACGTTTTCCCCAGATTTTAATAAAAGTTTGTATTTTAGGGACAAAAGAGAAAACCAGGGAATTTATTAAGCTTAGGGCGGAGATGGACCACATGATCACTGGAGCAAAGTATTCGGCGGTTAGGTACAATAACATCTCATATTTTAAAAACTGTCGTTTGAGTTTAGTTTGTTCTGCGAAAACATGAAAGGAATAACCCGTTGTCCTCTTTTCTCTTCCTGTTTCGTTTCTTACATGTTTGTTAAGACTATTCTGGAGAAAATGGGCATCCAGGGGAAGGTGACAGCGATGACCAGCTTCTGGAGCTGATCAGGGAGGACATGAGGCTGCAGAGGGAGGCAGAGCAGCAGAGGGCACAGGAGAGAAGGGAGAACTTTGACAGCTTTTTACTTTGCTAGAAAAAATGGTTAATAAAGATTAAACATGCACATATAAAAGAAATATCTAAATAAAATCAGTTCTGCATTAAACTCTTGAATTTTATTTTTGTTTACAAATGAGAATTGTTTACTAGAGGGTATCTGCTGGGTCTTGAAAAGTATTAAAATGTGATAACTCGATTTTGGTCAAATTAAGACCCTTAGAAAGTATTAAAAACTATTATCACATCTTTGCTCAGGCTCAGCTTGTCGAAAGTATTTTCTCTGAATTAGCTCTCCAACAGTCAAGGAAATGATTAAAAAGCTAAATAAAACTTCGAGATCCATGTTCCTTCTCCCTTCTGCTCAGCAGTTCCACGGTTGCTAGGCGACGGAACGTTCGCCGAGGGAGTGGCGGGAATTCATGAAGGCTATGCCTGTCCAAATTCACAGCCGTTAACATCTGGTCTACTTGGCCGACGGAGGACCCAGCCCACGTTGGCCGAGTAGGCTGGGTCCTTCGAAGGATGCAAAACCTGAATTGAGACACAGCGACAGGCTCGCAACGACATTGTGACATCATATGGTACCAGCTAATGTTCGAGGGTACCTCTTAGCCAATAGCAAAGGCAGATTTAAATTCAAATACAGTGCTGAGTTTTTACCTGACAACGGCACAACACTGACAGTTTTAGGCAGAAAATTAAAATGAACTAAAATGCACTAAAGTGCAAAACTATTGACTACATGTGTCTGCAGCACGATTAGATACGCATTTATATAGTTTATCAGAAAAAATAGTTGATTTGGGGGTGACTTGCTCTTTAAAGAATATAGTTGCCAATATCAAGCCAATATGCATTAATAAACACAATATAAGTCAAATAAGTCAATAAATCTAATATTTATTGAACTTCAAATATAAAACTAATTCAAACATTAGTAAAAAAAATGGCGTGTTGGGGTCCTTCAGGTCCTTTTTTCAGTCTAGGAGTGGTGGGAGTTGGCCACACGGGTGCCTGATTTTTTTATTGGCTTTTCAAAATAAAATATCGGCCATATAGAAAACATTGAATACATCGGTCGGCCTCTAAAATCAACTCACACTGAATCATCTACAGATACGTTTTTCTAAAGGAGCAAACTTGGCTTTAAGACTGCAGCTGAATCAGATTCAGTTATAAAAATACGTCCATGACCATCAGAGTTCATCTCAGCTGGAGGTTCTGGCAGCAGGCCAGCTGAGTGTGGACCAGAGAAGAAGACGCAAAGCAAAACATCTAAAGACTAAACCACAGACAAGACAGCGAGTGACCTGTTGGTCTCAGAGGTCATCAGAGGTCAGCGATGGATTTCATCCACTCGGCTGTGAAGTTAAACGAGTTTAGACCCGTGTCAGGACTTCCTCCCTTCAGACAGCATGAATCAATTCAAGATCTTTGGTCTGGAGGAGAAACATCTGCACTCGATGTCCAAAAGCAGACGTCTTTAAATCACCAACCACTTATCAGGCAGGCATGAAGGTACCTAGGTGTAGATGTGGTTGTTGGATCCAAACAGGTTGGTCTGAGGATTTCAGAAACTGGGATTCTCACCCACAACCAACTTTAGAGAATGGTCAGACTGGTTCTGGCAGAACCACAACAGCAGCTCTTATGACCACTGGTTCCTTCCAAGGTCTGCAGAACAGCCTCATGTCACAGCCCAGATCATCTCCAACTGGTTTCTAGAACATGACCATGGGTCACTGGAATCCAATGACCTCCACGGTCACCAGATCCCAGTCCAGTCTAGAACCTTTGGGATGTGGTGGAATGGGAGATTCCCATCATAGATGGAGCAGATGATGTGGACATGGACAAGAACCTCTGAGGAACATTTGTTGGACCTATGGTGTGAAGATTTTAGGAGGTTCTGACCAAAACCAACCTAAAAACCACAGAAGATTGAGTTTACCTCTATACTCACACACACACACGTGTAACGTGTTTGAACGGAGATGTGTCCTGACAGAACCTGCTAGTCGTTGGTGAACACCTCTGGGATCGGCAATGTGTGTCTGACTAAAGGAGGGAACGTAAAATCCGACCGATTACATAACATCCAGCAACAAACAAACTACAAGGCCTTTCCCATCAGACCTGTCCTGTTGCTGCAGAGTCATCACAACCAAGTCATGACTCGTTATGGCGAGACGTTCAAATGTTTAGCGGCTTGTAGGAGAAACGAAACCTGGAAGTCTGGCAGCGACATAAAGGCAGAACTCTGACCAGCAAGCTTCTCCTTTCTCCTGTGAGTGAGAGAGAGAGAGAGAGAGAGAGAGAGAGAGAGAGAGAGAGAGAGAGAGAGAGAGAGAGACAGAGAGAGAGACAGAGAGAGAGACAGAGAGAGAGACAGAGAGAGAGACAGAGAGAGAGAGAGAGAGAGAGAGAGAGAGAGAGAGAGAGAGAGAGAGAGAGAGAGAGAGAGAGTGTATGTGTGTGTGTGTGAATATGTTTGTACAGTGTGGGAGCTCATGCTTACATCTACAGTAATGCACACTGCATGAGAGCTGGCGACATTTGATCATCTACTGAACTAATTTAAGCCAAGCACCCCCCCCCCCCCCCCAACACACACACACACACACACACACACACACACACACACACACACACACACACACACACACAGTGTTTGTCCTTGTGGATGGAACCAGTCCCACAGCTGACCTCAGACCAGTCTGATAAGGTTCGGTGGGCTGAACACAAACACTGGATCCGGTAGATGAGAACCCGACCAGTTAAACTAACACGTTGTAACCACATACTGGACAAACTGGTCTGAAGAGACACGCAGGTACCTCACCTGGTTCATAGATATTATAGAAATATGGAGGTAAAATCAGGTTTAGGAACAAAATCCCTCATTTATGTCATTAAATCAGCTGTCAGCGAAGCTGCCGGAGTTATTTTTAACCATAAAGGTACTTGTGATAAATTAATGTACTAAATAAGTAAATGTTAATACTTGCTCTCATTGTGGAGTGAAATTACAGAATTATTAATCTAATAATTTTAAATGAAAAGGGGGGAATTAGCCAATTTCGTGATTTTTAACCAAAATATTCAAACCAACAAATCACAGCGGGTATAGATTTTGGCACCAAATAACATGTACATTTTTTAAATTTTTAAATTATTTCTTGTTCATAAACTACTCCCTACACCCAGACAAAAGCTCATCGCAAATATTTCATGTTTTGGTTTTATTCTTTTATTCGGGTAATTTAACGCACCACCTGATATCTCCAACCCTCCAAATATCAGTTTTATGACCCAAATGACTGGTTTCAGTCTCCAGAACCCAGCTCACAGCTAGCAACGCGAAGCATCAAGCAAAGTTCAAATATTTCCTAAATGATGAAAAAAATGTGTAGATCAAAAATATGCCGAATAAAGTAGAAGGTTACCAGGAAGCTGAGGTCTTTAAAATTATCTGGTGAACAGCACATAAATGTGTTATTTAGCAGGAACAGATTTATTTGACAGTTTCTATATGAAGTTTGGCCTATAAGTCTGTAGACTGGGTCGGAGTTAATTAGCCATCAACAGTGAAGGAGACGTGACTTACCGACAAGTGAAAGAGCAACGACGAGAGTCACGAGACAGTCCACCATGTCCGCTGCTGTTTGTCCCCTCTCTTCTCTTTGATGAAGTCCCCACGTCCTTTTTGTCTGGCGCTGGGACAAGACCAGTCCTCTCCCGCCGCTCAGGGGGACAGTCCAATATAAAACTCTCAGATGTGTGCAATCACTCCGCGCTGCACCGCACGCCGGGCGGAGCCGCGATGCCAAACGGACGCACACCGCGGGGGTTCTAATCCAGACACCGAAGTCCCGTTTAGACGTTGTTTAGACGGGCCACGCTGATATGACCGATCCGGTTTCACGTGAGGAGCGAGCTCGCTTGAGGCTGAAGGAGAGACAGGCTGAGTGAGGAGGAGCAGCCGGAAGTTAGGTGTTGCTCTGTGGGAGGAGTGGAGGAAGCAGGGAGGTCCCAGGTGGAGGAGCGGCACGGATCACTGTTGCTCACATTTAACCAAACAGCAGCCATGAAACAGGAAAAGCTGAGTAAGAGGAGAAAACACCAGGAGGATGGGGGAAATGGGGGTCAAATAAAAAATAAAACAGCTGAATCAAAGGATGAGGGCGTTTAATAAAAGGTCCAGGGCTTACTTTATCATAATTTACCAAATTTAGCCACAAAACCAATATGATCATTCATTTGATTTTTATTTAACCTTTATTTATCCAGATGAGTGGACTGAGAATGCATTCTCGTTTACAGCATCTGGCCAAGAGGCAGCACACAGTTAGCTTTACACCAAAGAACAACAGGTAAGATAAATCAGATAAACAGTCAGACACAAAGGACTGTTCTCATATGTACAAGCAATCAGAACAGACTAAAACAGTCTTTAGTACTCAGAAGCAGGAACACTGATCAGAAACTATTGATCACCATGAATTATTGAAGGTAGATAATGGAATGTAGGTGGTGAGCTTCAGTGGTTTCTGCAGCTCATTCCAGTCGTTGGAAGCAGCAAACTGGAATAAGGAGCAGCCAAAGGAGGTGCGAGCTTTGGGAATAACCGTAGAGAGGAAGTTTTTTAAACTGTAGAAAACGAGTCAAATAAGTGCAATAAAATAAACACGTATGTCTTAAAAACACATAAAGGCATCAAGTCGTTTCCAAAATACGTGCAAAACTGCATCCTGCTTTTGCAGACCTGGTTTAACCCTCCCACTGTCCTAATGGGTGGTGTGACCCCACAAGGAAAGTTGACCATTGAGCAGGATTGATGGTTTATCCCTTGGGTCCATGTGGCAGGGGTGAGGAGTGAGCACCTCACCCCTGCCACGTGGACCTCAAGGGATAAACCATCAATCCTGCTCAATGGACAACCTTCCTCGCGGGGCCACACCCATTAGGACATTGGGAGGGTTAAATATGTAAAGGTTCATTTTCTGGTGGAGATATTCTGAGATATCCTGCCACCTTTACAGCCACGTATCCGGCCCACGATGCTCTATCTACTGATGTGTTCACCTGGTTTTAATGTCTTTCAGAGACTTTTTAACAAGGGCAGATTTGTCTCTCATCGTCCTCCACCTCTTCAGGCGATCGGCGCCTCTAAACTCACGTTTCTCGTGATTCTGTCCACGATTAAAACGCTTGCTGCGTACCTTTGTACTCCTTCATTCACGGGTGAATAAACCCGTGAGACTTTTATTGCAGTGCGTTCTTCAGTCTGGGTCGTGTCTGCAGCTAAATATCTTATTTGAGGGGAAAATGGCGGTGCTGTTGACCAATCACAAGCTTATGTTTTACATCAGTTTCAACAGGACATTTAAAAATATGGGCATGTCTCCGCCGCCCTCTGGAGCCCGTCGGAGGGCCCTGACGCTGATGCATAATGGCGTTGCGTGTCTCCACACCGACGCAGACAGAGGAGTGTAAGTTAGGCTTAAGAAGGAGCTGAAGGGCCACAAGTGGCTCCAGAGCCACAGCTTGCAGACCCCAGACCAGAAACCACACTGAGCTCTTTCTCTAATCTCATGATTAGATCTTAATCTGAAAAAGTCCTGCAGCTTGTTTTATACATTAATAAGAACTTTCATGTCAATTGAATCTTATATTTACAGATTTCATCATTTACACTGTAAAAATTTACTGTCTTAGTTTTTTCAACACCTAATAGAATAAAAATAATAAATGAAATCGACTAAAGTTTCGTATAGAATTATTTTTAACCTAATGTAACATTTAACTTTTTAGCTTGAAACATGTTATTTTTTACAGTGCAGCCATGTAAGAAAATAAAAGCATGAAAATACATATTTGTGTTTCCTGTCACAAAAGCAGAATTTTCATGTTTCAGAAGGTTTTTTCTCTCGCTGTGATCCGGTTGTCAGTTCCTGTCCCGTGGTCACGCTGTGAATTTACTCAGAGCCGCTGCAGGGGTCAAAGTTCACTCCTCAGACGGCCTCTGCAGGCGGAGCAAGAGGAGCGGAAGAGGACGGGTTTAGGGCTGTAACCTCAGAGTCAAAGGTCATTATCCTATCTATAAAACGTGTGTGTGCCTGACTGTATGCGGTCCCAACACCTCAGCGTGTGCTGTCACGCAGCATCTGTTCAGAGTAAACACACCCGAGTCACGGCTTCATCGTGCTACTCCACCATCCGTCATTAACTAGGTCATCCATCCTCGACTCCATTCCTGGTTTTAGTAAACTTTTCATTCGTGCAACGTAAACCAGGATTTGTTTAGAAATAAACACACACGATGTTAGCTCCTTGGATTATGAAAGTAGCATCAGCTGAAGATATGATGAATTCATTCAGTCATGACACACCTGGTTAGCGTTTGAACATGAAGAATCACGGTGTGGTAGGGGATGCTGTGGAGCTCTATCGCCACCTGCTGGCTGCAGGGACAATAACCACCTTTATTTATTTATAAAGCTCTTTTTAGGCTCAGAGTGATTTACAGAGACTTCATTTATCTGAAGAGAAGACAAGAAAGAATTAAAAAATATTTTTTAAAAAGCAGACAAATTTAGATTAAAACTAAAATAAAGAAATTATTCCACAGGAGGACTCTGTGATCCAGCATGGCGTGAGACAGCATTTCCATTATTTTTGCAATATTGTTACAAAAAGATAAAAATATACACATTTACCAAATGCAATTATCAGTATTTAGTTCTCATTTAACAAGATTCATGCTGACATTGTGAATGACTGCAAGGTCATCCAGGAGAAGTACAAAGGTCACTCGTTACAGCTTTGTATCATGGTGGTCATTAAACGTTTGGGGTGGGGTGGGGGGGTGGGTGGGGGGGGTGGGGGGGGTTGGGGGTTCGATTCCTCTTCAGGCTTGGTCCTCTGCAGTGGAATCTCCTCCACACCTGTTCAGAAGAGACCAGCAGTGATGAGTCTGACCAGGAGTGAACGAGGAGAAAGTGAAAGAGTGACCGATGATGCAGCTTTGTGAAAGGACGCTGCTATTCTTTAAAATATGAATCGTGTTTAAGGAGTTCCAGTGCATGGTACCTGCCCTGTTTTAGGTTTGTTCGGAACCATTCCAGGTTTTCTATGATACATTTGGTTAACCAGTAAAAGTATTAACAAGATCACGGTTGCAGCATTGTGTCATGTCTTTGGTGTGTGGTTTTATAAAGGTGCACACCTGGCTGACATCTGGTGACACATTGAACATGAACAACCCCCCCCCCCCCCCCCCCATTAAATTATGTGCAGGAGACTCCTGAGACACTTGCGTCCTCAGCTACCTGAGTTCAGTGTAGTACACACCCTGATACAGGACAGCTCTGTGACTACCTATCTCTGTTATCCATGCTGGCGGTGACCATCATGTTCACTCACTGTGCTGAATTCAGTCGTGCATCAAAAGATCGCTGGTGGCTGAGCTGACTTTGTTGGAAACCACAGGAGAACTGGTTGCCTTCAGTTTTTGAAGCCATTTTGCTCAGAGCTACTTCAGTGTTGATCACATGACCATCCTGAAACCATCTATGTGCATGTCCAGGTTTCTTAAGAGGTGAAAATAAACAGAAAAAGAAGCCATCAGCTCAGAGTCCTCCATGTGGACCTAGCCTGCTTTGTCAAAACATACAAGAAGAATTAGTTCTCACCTGAGCAGCTTCACAGGTAAAGATGACCTTTGACCCCTGACATGCAAAAGTTACTGCAGGCTTCGTCATGGGATCTGATAGATTTAATTAGATCAACAACACGAGACATTGCAGAGATTTTATAGTAGTTATAGATTATACCATAATCTCAGGAGCTGCTGATAATCTGCACACGTTTAACAGCTTCTGATGCATCGACACAAAGAAAGTCATAAATAACTGAGTTAAATAAGGTATTGTTGGACTCAGAAAAGTAACAGATATACAGTGAGTAGTATCAAGATACAGGTGTCCAAAAAAGAGATTAGAGTCAGATGTTACCTACCCAGTACACATAAACGTGTTTCCTTTGAGAATAGTTTTAGTCCAACACGATTAAAAACCTCAGAGATGTTAAGTCCTTCTTGGCCCTTCCTGACGGTTGTCAGTCTCAGGTCTCCTTCCTGGTTTACATCAACCTGAGTCCCTAAATCTTTTTGTGGTTTTCTCCAAAATACAAACTCATCATTGCGTTTCCATTTCAGTGTGTCGGGGTTGTAGAGCGTGTCCAAGAGGCACACTGACGTTTGCACCGGTTGCAGCATAAGGGTCACAGCCACTGGATGAGCCTTTGGGTCAGAAAATAAAACATAAACAAAAATTATCAAAACATTCAAAATGCTGTCAGGAAGTGCAATAATATTAAATATCTGTGCTAAGAGGATTTCTCCTCTTATTATGAAAAGGATATAGTGATTAATAATGTTTAACTACAAGTTTAATGATTCACCATCTACTTTCTATCAGAAGCTAATGCAGGAGATAGGTGTAGGAGACTATTTTCATGTTCAGCCTGCATGAAACACTCAGAGTAACCCATTAGAATCAGTTGAACATTGTTGAATAATTCTCACTCTCTCTGAGGTTCGTAACTGTTAGTCACTCCTCTGTTAATGAGGTTCGTAACTGTTAGTCACTCCTCTGTTAACGCAGCTGCATTGGCTTCACGTGGAGTTTCAGGTCAAATTCAAAATTGTCGTTCTAACCTGGAGAGATCTGCATGGACCGACTCCAGTGTACATTAATAAATATCTGCAAATGTACACTCCATCCAGGACCTTGAGGTTCTCTGACAAAGGCCTGCTCTCTGCTCCTAAAGCCAGACTCACGACTAAAGGAGACAGAGCCTTTTCCTCCGTGGCTCATGACTAAAGGAGACAGAGCCTTTTCTGGGTAAATGCTGGAGTTCTCTTCCTCTGTCTCTGAGGTCTGAGGCCTCTCAGCTTAAGACTCACCTGTGCAAAGCTGCTTATTTTAATACTGTATTTCAATTCTGTTAGAACTTTTTCTTGTACCTGACTATGTTATACTGTTTTAATTTCTCTTTATGTGGAGTGCTTTGTGATTTTTACCTTAAAAGGTGCTATACAAACAAAGTTTTAAAGGAAAGTTAAAAGGAAATGCCGAAGTCAGAAAAAACAACAAATTAAAAGTGAAATTTGGGATGTAAAGAAACCGATTTCACAGGCCAAAGAGTTATAGCTTAAATGACATTTATTTATCTACTTTCCACAAGCTAATTAGTCATTAGTGTCATAATCCTCTGATGTATTTTTTGGGCCACATCACCAACCATCAATATTCAAGAGTTGGTTAAATTCAGAGTTCAATGTTCAGCGTGTAAATAAGTTAATGAGCACCAGAAAACTCATGTGGGTCTTTTCTGGTGCTGATACAGAGTTAGAGCCTGTTAGTTTAGTAGGGACGGGATAACGAAGAGTCGGTTTTAACGTCGGTCACTGAGATGACGTTATTCAGAAAACCTTTCCTGGAGCAGACGTCCCAGTGGATTCTCTCAGAGATCAGACCCTCGTCTAGCAGGTTAAAGGGTCGGGTTCACAAGGCGATCAGAAAAACACACACACACTTGGTGTGTGAGGATCATTCATCACGCTGGTTACAGAAACACACTCGGGTTTTTTCCACCGACAGACTAATGCTGAATGGTGTGGCGGGTGTTACACGAGAGGCTTTGTTTGGTTTGTAACGGTCCTAAAAATCACAAAGCAATATATCAGCAGAAATCTCCACCAGACTTGATGCTTTTGCCTTTATTATCACTGAAGCTCAGTACCTACATTCCATTATCTACCTCAATAACTCATTGTGATCAATAGTTTCTGATCAATGTTCCTGCTTTTGAGTACCTAAAGACTGTTCTAGGTCGGTTCTGATTGCTTGTACGTATTATATATGAGAAGAGTCCTTTATGTCTGACTGTTTTATCTTCTCTGGCCTGTATTTGTAATGATTCGCCCCGGCCTCCCTGACTGTGTCGCTCCTTCCGTAATTAGCCTTATTGTTCTCACCTGCCCCTCGTTAACCTGCCCATGTGTTCCCTGATTGTTCTGTGTATTTATACCTCCCTCTTTGTTCCTGTCGTGGTCGGATCATTGCGTTGTCTTCGTGCTTGTGCTGCTACCATTAAATCCATTTTTATTTTTTCATCCGTGCCTGCTCTTCTGCCTCCTGAACCCTCCACCACACATGGCCTGCCATCTCCACCCTCACCTCATGACAGTATTTGATATTTAGATTTTTGATACCAAATACAGGCCATATCTGTTGTACTTTGGTGTACAGCTAGCTATGAGCTGCTGCATCTTGGCCAGATTGTCGTTGTAAATCAGGAGTTCTTAACCGACCTAGTCTGGATAAATAAAATAAATAAATATTATCAGTAATGGTGAATAACAGAAGACTTACCGGCTACAAAAAGCCCACAGATGAGTGTGAGGAGACAGGTGGCCATGTTCTATTTTTCTTCCGGTCCTGTGAGAGTCTTCAACATCCAGCAAGTGACCAAGGTATCTGCAGAGCAACCCCCCCCCCCCCCCCCCCCCCCCCCCCGATCCTGCTAGGCACCACTTCCTTATAAAACCAGACACCACAGAGCTTGTTCCTTCTAACCCTAACCCTTAACCTGAGGACTTGTCTTTATAGAGACAGAAAACATTTGGTCCCCTTGTCCTTCGGTGTCACTGTTGTCCACACTAATGACTGGAGATGTTAGAGGCAAGTTCTTTAATAGGAAAACAATTAAGCAGAAAATACACCAATTCTGATTTTTACTGGAATCTGAATAAAATGAGAAAACTCAGAGAAAGCTGGTTAAATTCCTCAGAATCAAATATGAATCAGCAAAGAGCCCTGGAAAACAGTCCAGCGTGTTTTTCAGGAGTTACTATGAAAAACACTTTCATTTTTAGACAAACGGCTCCAAACGTCACAGAAGTGCTGTGTGTGTGTGTGTGTGTGTGTGTGTGTGTGTGTGTGTGTGTGTGTGTGTGTGTGTGTGTGTGTGTGTGTGTCATCATTAGTAACATAGCCTTGAATCAGACGAGCATGCTGGTATAGTTCCCCAACTCTGGCTTCTGGTTCTGGGTTTAACTACAGGGCTTTTCCACTGAATGTTTTTCATCTGCATCATTTTTCATCAGCTCCCGTTAAAGAGCTGTGATACATACACTGAGAGGGTGTGACGTTGTGCAGATCCCAAAAATAATCCCAAAAGCACTAAAGTATTTCAGCTTTGTAATTCCTTCATGTGAATAAACGTTTCACAATGCTGTTATAAAGACTCTTTTTCTACTGTAGCTCATTTAGAATAGAACAGACTATTAATCCCACAGTGGGATAAAGAGAATAATTTGAAGAAAAATAATAACAAAGGTGTGTGTATAAACACATAGGCAGCAGTCTAGTATTGTAACCTTCGAAGGCTAAAAAGCACGAATAAAAAAAGAAAAAACTTGGGTTCCAACACTAAATCCAGTATTGCACGAGTACTGAACACATAATGAATATTGTATTTAAGTCCAGATTTAAACTGTCTGGCTGTTTTACAAGCTGGAGATGATCTGAGGAGTCTGATGCTTCCCGAGAGAACATGCTAACTCTGCACATGCATGTGGAGAACATGCTAACTCCACACATGCATGTGGAGAACATGCTAACTCAACACATGCATGGGGATAACATGCTAACTCAACACATGCATGGGGAGAACATACTAACTCCACACATGCATGGGGAGAACATGCTAACTCAACACATGCATGGGGATAACCTGCTAACTCAACACATGCATGGGGAGAACATACTAACTCCACACATGCATGGGGAGAACATGCTAACTCAACACATGCATGGGGATAACATGCTAACTCAACACATGCATGGGGAGAACATACTAACTCCACACATGCATGGGGAGAACATGCTAACTCAACACATGCATGGGGAGAACATACTAACTCAACACATGCATGTGGAGAACATGCTAACTCAACACATGCATGGGGAGAACATGCTGACTTCACACATGCATGGACAGAACATACTAACTCCACACATGCATGGGGAGAACATACTAACTCCACACATGCATGGGGAGAACATACTAACTCAACACATGCATGTGGAGAACATGCTAACTCAACACATGCATGGGGAGAACATGCTGACTTCACACATGCATGGACAGAGCATACTAACTCCACACATGCATGGGGAGAACATACTAACTCCACACATGCTTGGGGAGAACATACTAACTCCACACATGCATGGGGAGAATATGCTAACTTAACACATGCATGTGGAGAACATGCTAACTCCATGCAGAAAGGTTGCAGGCCATGCATCCTCAAGTTCTGAACTGAACTCCAGGTTGAGTTGCCCTTCAGAGCTGCAGCCACCAGAGGGGGGTAGTGCTGCAGGACCGAAGGGTTAGTGTGCAGGAGGAGGGTAGCAGGTTCATGGCCCACTCAGTCAGTTGCAGTGTGAGCAAGTCACTCGCCTACCGATGGAGGTCAGAGGGACCATCGACGCCTGGTCTTTATACTATCCTCACTTGTGTCAGAGTGGCCACAAGGTTGCTGTGGCCTGTCACAACTACCATGTGAATGAGTGCATGACTGTTGTGTTGTAAAGCACTTTGGGGAGTTCTAGGAGGCGCTATATAAAACAGGACATTCATTATTGGAGTATGACTCACAGCTAGCTAGATTGCAGCAAGTTGCTACTCACTGCTGCTTCAGACCAACAAACATTTTAACCCAGTTGGTCCAGTTTTGACTCATCAGGGTTTGCTGCTTAGGTTTTATGATAAAGTACATGAACACATTTCAAGCTGACAAAATGCATCAATGCAACAAGAAAGGCATGAAAACCCATTAAAGGGACATACTATAATAATATATGTAAGTCATAACAGCTTGATGGTCGATACGAAAAGAAATGAAGTTATTTGCACAAAGTCCCTCTCACATGAAGTTATTTAAGTTTTTTATTCTTGAAATTTTTAGCAACTTCCAGAATGAGGAGTTTCAGGGCTCTGTCGCTTTAATACAAATTGTTGATGGCCATGCCCACTCATCCAGTGATTGGCTGTTCAATGAGGAGCTCAGATCAGGAAAGTTGTCCTTTGTTAAAAAAAAACCTAAAAATAAACTATTTAACCTAAGAACTTGAAAACTCTGAAAAACAAAAGGAAATTTGCTTTAGGCGACATTTTAGTAATGAACCCAAATTGTGAAATACTGTTGTTTTATTTTCAAAGGTTAAATAAGGAAACTGTATGGGTGTTTAGCCACACAACCCCCCCCCCCCCCCCCCCCCCCCCGATGCTTCCAAATAAAGAGAAGGAAGACAGAACTAAACAAATCAAAACAATTTTGAGTGGAAAATGTTGACAACAAGGTCACAAAGCAAGAAAGCCTGCAGATACCGATCATGCATTCTGCACAAACACGTAGAGCAAACCACAAACACATTTTCAGCAAAAATACACAGGATATGGTGGAAGGCAGACAGTTTATCTGAAGAGGAATAAAATATGAGGTGAGAAAACCACAACTAGAGCACAAGCATCTATCTCAGAGCCCTACAAACAGTTTACTTTAAAAGTAGGGGTGAGCTGGATCCTCGTTTCAGGAGTATCTAGTACGGAAAACGCATCTTTGACGAGTACGGGCATTAAACGAGTAAAACCCGTGAACATCTGTATTCATGCTGAAGTTAATCCTCATTGGGTAACTGACTGTTTTCACGCTTTATGATTGGTCAGTCACACAGAGCACCCCCTCCCACACACACACACACACACACACACACACACACACACACACACACACACACACACACACACACACACACACACACACACACACACACACACACACACACACACGCACACCTTGCTTTGTTTTCCTTTGTGTAGGTAAAAAAAATGCCAAGAACTTTAGAAAAACCTGTTTGATCATAAAATAAAAAGCTGTGGCTGCATGAGTTCAGTTGTATCCATCCATGCACTTAAATATTCAATGCAATTCAACTTTATTTATAAAGCGCCAAATCACAACAATATTCATGTTGTGAGTTAATAGAAAAACTACCGTATTTTCTGGACTATAAGCCACTACTTCTTTCCCACGCTTTGAACCATGCGGCTTATAATGAGGTGCGGCTTCACTGAAGATTTTCCTTCACCTGCAGGGGGCGCTTTAGCAGAAAGTGAAACAGGTGGAAGTCAAAAGTGGAAATGGAAGAAAGTGCTCATTTTAATTTAGCACACGCAAGCAGCCGGCACGACAAATTTTTTTTTTCAAATCCATACCCCCTCATCATGGTAACTACACGTATGAGTTCATATGATGCCGCATTTAAGTTGAAGGCCATCGATCTGGCAGTAAGGGAGGGAAACAGTGCTGCCGCACGTAAGCTTGGCATGAATGAATCCATGGTTCGGCGCTGGAGACGGCAGCGTGAAGAACTCATTCAAGCCAGCTTCACCCGGGGATGATGAAAGCAACACAGACAGCGACACTGACATCGCCACAGAAAAGGTATGTGACGAAGCTCTTCTGAGGCTGTTCAACTCTGACACTGAAGAAGAGGACTTTAATGGCTTTAGTGCGCAAGAGGAAGATGAGAGCGAATGACTTTTTCTGGTAGGCAAGTGTGTTTTATTTACTAACCAGCCATGTTTTCTGTGCTGTTTTTATTTTCTAATCATCCAGGGCTTATTAATGCTGTGTCAGCGCTGTTTTTATAACCATCCAGAAATATGAATGCTATCAGTGCTGTTCTCTTTTCTAAACTAGCAGGCACGTTCACCCGTGCTTAAAATTCGTTTTGTTGAATTAAAACAACGCAAAACCTCCGTGTAGCGTCTTTCTGTCTAATTATGGTAAATGGTAGATGGCCTGTATTTGATATAGCGCCTTCTAGAGTCCTAGAACCCCCCAAGGCGCTTTACAACACAACCAGTCATTCACCCATTCACACACACATTCACACACTGGTGGGGATGAGCTACAATGTAGCCACAGCTGCCCTGGGGCGCACTGACAGAGGCGAGGCTGCCGAGCACAGGCGCCACCGGTCCCTCCGACCACCACCAGCAGGCAACGTGGGTTAAGTGTCTTGCCCAAGGACACAACGACAGCGACAGACTGAGCGGGGCTCGAACCTGCAACCTCCCGGTTACGGGGCGAGCACTTAACTCCTGTGCCACCGTCGCCCCATATCTTATGTTATGGCCATACATACGCTGTGCGCCGGAGTCCTGCATGTGGCTGCTGCGCCGCGGCTTGTATTTGAGTGCGGTGTGTGTGTAGAAAACCTTTATTTTTGTTGGTGCGGCTTATATTGAGGTGCGCTCTATAGTCCGGAAATTACGGTAGTTCTGTAACAGTTCCTTTACTATTGTCATCAAAAACATTGACTCTCAATTTTGAGGCTGCTCTGTAAATAGTTTTCAAATAAGCAATACACAAAGCAACTTCTGATCAATCCATATCAATGCCAGACTTAAAATAATGTACAGATTGAAGCCCCACCTTCTTCAGGCTAAACCACGCCCAGTTCCAGTTTAGGCCCCGCCCACTCTACTCGCCCATCTCTAATTAAAAGTGTCCAGCATGATCGCTAAAGGAATAAAACAGGTACGACTTCAAAAATGACTGCGGCAAAGCTGTAATAAGCTACAATAGTTTGATAATTTTATGGCAAAGTGGCTAAATATATTACAAAAATAAACAACAACAGAAAATACAAAAAATAATTTAAAAAACCATCTAGGGAGCCTAAGTCACGGCCATCTACTCCCAGACCATTGTTCGTCCGTTTTTCTTGCTCACGTAGAAGAAAACAAAACAAATAATGTGCAGAAAAAATAGTTAGCTTCATTAATTTGCTAGCTTAAAATGGGCCTAAAAGCTAATAATTGGTTTGTCGTTTCTGCACAATTTTTTTTTGTCTAAAATTCAAATTTCTGGATCACTTGGGTTATTTTAGTAACAATAGCAGAACAAAGCATTTAGTTTGATATGTTGACTTTAAGATATCATTACAATACATCTGAAGTTTGTCCTTAAATCGGGGTTTCTTCTAATCTCCATAAAGAAACTCTAAATCAAAGTAAGTCAAGCTGGAACCATTTTAGTTTAATATCAGAAAACAGCTGGTGAGTTTAGATGTAAAGTTTGAGTTCAGCTATGATAAACCCTTTTACTCAGTTGTGAAGATGTTAATGTAGTTTGGTCATGAGGCAGCTCGGTCCGTTACATGAAGTTCCAGATGTAGGTTGTCATGGTTTCACCCGATCCATGTTTAAGGAGCCTTCTTCCTGGGCTGAGGCAGAGGGGGAGGATGTTCATCATTACCATCAGCAGGTCTGGGTACCTGATGGAAAAGAAGACAGCAAAGCAGATTCATTTTACTGTAAATAAATAAGTAAAAACCTCCATATGATTACATAAGCTTTCTACCTGAGTGGTCCGTCTGGGCTGAGGCTGAGGGTTAGGTTGGCCCCCCGTGGACTCGGGCACTTTAGGTCGCTGAGTGTGTTGCTGTTTGGAGCGGCTCTGCCGAGGCCCGGTGTGTCCGGCTTGCTGCTGCTGGTGTTGGTGATGGTGATGGTGACGATTAGGATGCTGATTGGGAAGGGGAGGAAGGTGGTGATGATGGTTTTGTTGTTGATTATTGGTCCAGTCCAAACGAAGCTCCTCTTCATCTGTTTGGAAACACCAGTGAGGGTCAGCGTCGCTTGTCATTACCAAATAAATTTAAAGTCCCATTAGTCATCACACGCTGGTGAAATTAATCCCTACATCTGACCCATCCTTGTGGGGAGCGGTGAGCTGCAGCAGTGGCTGCGCTCTGGAACTATTTGGTGGTTTACCCCCACCCCCACCCCAATCCAACCCCTTAAACTGGGTGTCAAGCGGGGTGGCAATGGGTCCCATTTTGAAAGCCTTTGGTATGACCCGACCAGAATTTGATCCCGATCTCCCAGTCCCAGGGTGGACACTCTACCCCTAGGCCACTGAGAAGCTAAACCTATGAGAAACGTGATTTAGGGTGGGAGTCAGAGTCCACTGAGCTGTTGGGAACACACGGCTAAGAGCATTTGCAAGGGAGTTTCCGAAATGTCTCAAAACATCTCAATAAGCAGACCATTTGGCCCTTTGTCCTAACCCCAAGGACACCTAATAGTTAATATCAGAAACATTAATAACCCTTTGTTTATTAATGCTTAATAATGCTCTAAGTAACATTAATAAAGGGAACCTTATTGTTGCTCATGTTTTAAAGTGTACGGTTATCTTCTTGATCATTTTCAGGTGAGCAAAGCAACTGAAACCTTTCAGACAATTTTATCATCAGCAGTAAGATCCTGATGTCCAAAACATCAGTTAACAGTAGAAATTTTAAATGTTTAAAAATAGAAGACAATTTTTTTAAATCAATTTTAGAGTCTGGCTTGTAAGTCAAAATCTGCTTTTTGGGCAGAAATGTTACAAAAATTGTGCATGTAAAAAATACAATAATGACTGGGCCAAACAGTGAGCCTTGTAGTACTCCACAAGTTTTAATCAAGTTATTCATGACAGAGAGACAGACAGACAGACAGACAGACAGACAGACGGACAGATGGATAGATTACCCTTTAGCCGCATGCTATTTCTTTTTTTGGTCCGGATGCAGCAAATAATGACAATGATGATCAACAGTAAAACAATCCCTGACAAAGTGATGAAAGCAACAATTATTCATGACTCTCATTGTTTATTTAGCACACAATAAATAAAATGGTAGGATATTCAGTAAACAGTAACTTATTGTATGGATAAACTGGTTTTACCTCCTCCACCTCCTACAAAAATCCAGATACTGATTCCCAACAATGTTTCTGGGAGACCTGGGATGACTGTGGAAGAAACACAAAGAGAAAAAGGGTCACTAAAATGTCTTTTTACTAGACGTGCTACAGAAATATGACCTAAACTCACCAGACATGCTGCATTCATGAGTCAAAGTATTACTGCTTTGTTGACTGGCCTTGTTGGAAATTCTGCATGAGAATTTGCCTCCTTTGGAATCATCAGCCTTCACATTTAGAGGTGATTTATTCCATTGTTTTTCTACTTTATTGTCTCGAAGCCATTCGAGTCTGAGATCTGGGCTTTGCTACAGAAAACAAGATCCTGATTAGAGTTGCTGGTAGAAACAAGCCTGAAAAATAGTCTGAAGACAACTTTTCAAAGCTTGCAGGTTTAGAAAAGTTGCCTTCAGGCTATTTTTCAGACTTCAGACTTCTGAAAACAACCAGCAGTTCTCTGAGTTACTATAAAGATAAATTCTCACCTTAGAATAATTACAGGTAAAGATGACATTTGATTCTTTACAATCAAACTTTAAGGTAGGCTTCGTCACAGGGTCTGATCAGGCGTGAGTGGGCCAAAAACACAAACAGAGTGAACTTAGAACACCAAAAGGCTTAAAACACACAGGAATCTGATCTGTAGACTTTTACAAACATAAATATATAATTATTCATCTTTGTTTAATAAATACTTTAACAGAGAAAGCAGATGCTTTTGTTATCTATGTGATTAAACTCGTAGAAAATAGATGTTACCTACCCAGTACACATAAACGTGTTTTTTTCTCGAACGTATTTCGTCCGTTTTCATTATAAACTTCAGAAGTGTAGAGTCCTGCTTCGTTCTTCCTCACATTTGGCAGTTGAAGACTTCCATTCTGGGTAACATTGACCTTTATCCCATGAACAATTTTTTGTGCTTTTCTATGAAACAAGAGCTCATCTTTGTGTTTCCATTTGAGCATTTCTTTAGGCTGCAGAGCGTGTTTAAGAGGTACAACAACGTTTGCGCCTGTTGCAGCATAGAGGTCACAGTCACTGGACGAGCCTTTGGATCAGAAAAAACAAAGAAAGGAAAAATTAGATCAAAGCACTCAGAAAGCTGTTAGAAGGTTCTAGAACTCACTAATGTTACATTTCTGTCCCAAGACGACTTTCCTCTCATCTTGAAGGAAAAGTGTGAATATAAACACGAGCTGTTAAAAACTGGTCGACTGTTTTTAACAGATGTTACCAAGTTAGCCCAGGTTTTTATCTGGGTGTTGGTAGGAGGTAATCCCACTCCTCTGGACCCTGGCTCTAATATTTTTCCTTTCATTATCCCTGAGACATTCTCCAGCTCCAAGCTGGTTTCCATGACAACCACACTCCACAGCCTGACCTGGAATGAGTACTTTGGACCTGACCCTGCTATTGTTCAGCTGGACAATCTCCTTCAGAGATCAAAACTCATGGTTTCATCAATCCCAACAGAGCAGCTCCAGACCATCACACCACCACCTCTATGCTGTGAAGATTTAGTGTCCGTTTCAGCAGCGAGACAAGTCTGTGTTGTGGTTTTTGTTTTGGGCTCTTCCTGTGTGAAGAGAGCCTAACCCACAACATTATTTCTGATAACTGACTTCACACCAACCCACTGGAAACACTTGGTCACCAAGTTGCCCACTGCTGAAGAGAGACAAAGTGCGGATAGAGCTGTCTACATGGATGACATCAGAAAACTGATGTGGCACCGTTAGTAACCTGGAGCCCAACACCTCCAACACAGAAGAGACTCTCGTAAAAGAAAGAAGTGCTAAACAGAACCCTCCATGGACCGAGTCTTTACTTAAAGGGACTGTAAGGAAGTTTTACAGCCAAAACATGTATAGAAATAATACATTTCTTCTTCATACATTCTCCTGCAATGTCCTGGTCCTGTAGAATGAGCCCTGGCATTTTTACTGTGATTGCCTGTTTTTCTGTAAAATCACATAAAAAGAGAGTTGCTCGGGTCGAGCAGGCTGCTTCATGCACGTTCACGCTCAGGCATAGCCCGTAGCATTTGCTATCCGTAGCTTTAGCAGCAGAGAGAGAGGTAGTGCCAACTCAGCGACTTTGTTGCTGTCCCTAATGCCTAGTGACAAACCTAGCTACATTTCTGAGGACCCTTAGCTACTTTCTGTAGAACTTTCTTCTAGATGTTTCCTGCAAATTAGCAACAAAAAGCCATTTTCGCTCCGAACCGTTCTTTGGATTGACGTTGTTTCAGCTGTTTTCAAGGATATAAACATTATAGTTACAATCAATGTCACTGGCGCTTTAGCTCACCTAGTAAAATATCTGTCATGCGAGAAGCCTGGATACGATTCTAGGTGTGAACACAATTTATTATTCGGAGTTTCTTTTTTACATTAATGATATATTTTTTACAGTAAGACGCCCACATTTTTATTTGAGACTCGCCGAAAGGCATTGAATTCACTGATGAAAAAGATGTGGGTTCAACTTTCCTTTTGGAACTATTTTTCAAGTAAGGGAATGATCTGAGCATGCAAGAGGACTGGCCCATCATCAGCCTTTGTCGGCTGTGCTGAAGAGAAAGGTACAGAACCAATTTATTTAATTATTTAGCTGCGTGTTCTCCTGTCCTCTGTCCTCCAGGCCACACACACACACACACACACACACACACACACACACACACACACACACACACACACACTGCACGATCGGAGTTGGTTATGAATAAAAACAGAGTAGTCAGGAAGTTTGACTTCTTTAGTTTTATTTTCACCTGGACGAGGCTAAATTACTAGTTAAAGCTTTTATTTTGAAATGATGTAGTTCTTCTTCATGTCTTGCTATGCAACACCTTAGATGGGAACTTATGGCTGATGCTTTTTTCATGTCTTGTTCTTGCAGATGTGAGCAGGTCGCCTCCACCTTCACAGTTTTGCACTACTTCCTGTTTGCCCTCGGCATTTCTCACTAACGCCACCGCACCAGAAGCGCTGTCGGGTCTGCAGCTACCGCTCCTGGAAAGTTTCTCAAAAACCTGATGCACCAGCACTAATGTAATACACTTCCTATTACTCCACTTATTTACATAGAAAAGACCATCCAGCTCTGCTTCTACAACCTCATCATCTCAGTTTTAGTTCCTTTTTGTGGCAAATGTGGAAAACTGGTTTCACATGAACTAAAAAGTAACTTTTACTTCTGTTGTTTTATTTGTTAAAATTATACAAATTTCTGTAAAATAAACACAGTTTTAAGAGGTTTTAAAGTAAATTCCTGTAATTTTGTGCACATGACAAACCTTTACAATCAGTTTACTTGACTTAACCCAGACTTTAACAAGAAAACCAGACTTTAACTAGGCTTTAACTGTAAAATCTAAATTTAACCAAACTTTAACCAGAAAACCCAAATTCAACCAGACTTTAACCAGAAACTAGACTTTAATTCCATGTTGTCGTTCTTTTAAAAAACACAGAAATGGTTTTGTTTTGTTACCTGTTATTGACGCTACCGTTTCTGTGTTTTTTAAAAGAACGACAACATGAAATTAGAAATAACGCACAGCATGAACACACCTAAGATGTTCAACTAGACTTTGAGCTGAAAACCCGACTTTAACCAGACTTTTAACTAAAAAACTAGACTTAAACCAGACTTTAACTAGAAAACCAGACTTTAACCAGAAACTAGACTTTAAGCAGAAAACCCGACTTTAACCAGACTTTGACTAAAAAACTAGACTTCAACCAGACTTTAACCAGAAACTAGACTTTAAGCAGAAAGCCCGACTTTAACCAGACTTTAACTGGAAAACCAGACTTTAACCAGAAAACCCGACCTTAACCAGACTTTGACTAAAAAACTAGACTTTAACCAGACTTTAACTAGAAAACCAGACTTTAACTAGAAACTAGACTTTAACCAGACTTTGACTAGAAAACCTGAATTTAACCAGACTTTAACTGGAAAATCCAAATTTAACCAGACTTTAACCAGAAAACCAGACTTTAATCACACTTTGACTCAATGCTTGTCGGTATCAGACCTGTTTTGTTGTACCCTTTTATGCCTCTTTTGCTCTGGTGGGCCATGAGTTATCTCATGTCTCAAGAGGAAGGACGGCGATTTTCCTACACACACACATACTCACATGTGTTCCTCTGTTATAGGATGAGTAAATAGAACACATTTGTGAATGAGGTAATGGCTGCATGTTTGAGTCCTTGAATTTGAGCTGAAAGAACCTTGTTAGTACAACTGTGGATGAAAATAACTGGAGTCCAGAGTGACAGAGAACATACCTTGAATATTGGATGATAAGAATTTTTGCTGAAAACAAGTCAAAATCAACAGTGATCTCCTAGAATTGTCTTGTGCTATTTCATCCACAGGTTGTGAAACCAGGAAATTGGGTTCTGATGAAGGTGCTGAAGCAAGGCAATTGGAGCAGCCAGAGGTGAGAAGGTCTATTCGAAGTTCTCCTCACCACTCCCACTGCTGTGAAGATTGCTGAGAGGCCATCTTGGATTCATCTATCACACTGCAAGCTTATCGACGTCAACTAACCACTATTAGAGCGGCAACGAAGTCCGGGTTTCAAAGGTGTGTTGTTCAATAGGTATTCATGTCTCAAGCCCGGTGAAGATGAAGATAAAGATAAAGATAAAGGTATGCTCCAAGCTTGCTGGTTTCACCACATTGTGATGTTGGTACACGTCCGTGGCCCTGCACTTGGGCTGCCTCAGCACCTGACGGAACAACTGGGACAGCAGCATCTGAAGGGGGTACTAGAACTGGAACGACGGATTGGGTCTCCTCCCTGACCGCACACCTATATGACAATGGGCTGCATGGTGACGCAGTGGTTAGCACTGTTGCCTTGCAGCACGAAGGTTGCAGGTTTGAAACTCGGCTCGGCTGCGGCCTTTCTGCGTGGAGTTGGGTGTTCTCCCCATGCATACGTGGGTTTCCTCCGGGTACCCCGGTTTCCCCCACAGATCACAACATGCCCTATAGGTTATAAATTGTAAGTCGCTTTGGATAAAAGTGTCTGCTAAATGAATAAACATAAACATAATAAACATAAGCAACGTGACCTGCATCCACCTCGGCTGAAGACCCCCTGGATGCAACTACGAAAGGACACAGCGAAGAAGAAAAGCTGGAAAAGGATAACTGCTTCAATCACCTGCACCCAATCTACAACTTGGTTTCACAGTCAAAGGATCAGAAGGACTTTTCGAGGACAAGATCGACTCCCTGACAACTGGACATCCACCTCAACACGCCATGGAAGGACCCTGACGTCTTCCTATTGAGAAGCTGAACTTTGCGCTCTCAAATCCCGAACTCCGTTGTTGCACTCCGGACCTGGGGGTCTCTTTTGGGTCCTAACCTCCTCTTGGCTCCCCAACGTGACAATTATGCTATGGAAATTTTATATTTCTTTACTTTAATCCTATTAACTGAATGTCCTGAATCATTCACACACACACACACACACACACACACACACACACACACACGCACACACGCACACACACACACACACACACACACACACACACACACACACATACACACACACACACACACACACACACACACACACACACACACACGCACACACACACACACACACACACACACGCACGCACACACACACACACACACACACACACACACACACACACACACACACACACACACACACACACACACACACATTCTTGTCCTAGTAACCTCCCATGCCCACACACACTCACATGACCTCACTTCCATTCCTTCCTTATCTTTTGTATTAAATTAACTCTGTGAGCAGAATTCGGGGCATTTGCCCTGCGCTCTTGCCACAAATCATGATTTGGTTGTATGTCTGCCTTATTGACTCTTGTCTCTCTCTCTCTCTCTAGCTGCAGAAAATGGGTTTATTGATAAAATATATTGATAAAATCCATGAAAAATTAGAAAACCCAAATTTAACCAGACTTTAACTGGAAACCCCGACCTTAACCAGACTTTACCTAAAAAATTAGACTTTAACCAGAAAACCAGACTTTAACCAGACTTTAACCAGAAACTAGACTTTAACCAGACTTTAACTAGAAAATCAGACTATGACCAGACTTTAACTAGAAAACCCAAATTCAACCAGACTTTAACTGGAAACCCCGACCTTAACCAGACTTTACCTAAAAAACTAGACTTTAACCACAAAATCAGACTTTAACTAGAAAACCTGAATTTAACCAGACTTTAACTAGAAAACCCCGACCTTAACCAGACTTTACCTAAAAAACTAGACTTTAACCAGAAAACCAGACTTTAACTACAAAACCTGAGTTTAACCAGACTTTAACCCTCTTATGACCATAATCATAACAGGGCCGCCTGGTATTTTTCTTAATCTTATGGCTGTAAAATTGTAATAAAAAGTGCAAAGTGTGTGTAACTCTTCTCCTTTTTTCAGAACAACCTCAGCTTTCAGTGTATGGTTTGTATTTAGAATTCAATTCTATTTAAGCCTTTTAAAAAATCAGCTTAAAATTGAAAAAAGCAAAAAACGGATTTGAATTTTTTACATTTATTACTGAACAGGAACTTCAAAATGACTTGGGCAAACAATTTGGAATTAACAATTTAAACTTTGAACTGTAATGCATCTATTCTTAAACAAGTTTGAACCTTGGTATCTTTTTTAGCAGTTTTTAAGACCATTTATTTTTGTAAACTTTCAGACGTTTCTATTTGATGTGGTAGGCCTTTAAACAGTTTCTCTCCAGCTGCAGGCAGAGCGCACCTCCCACTGCCATGGGGTGCTTCTCTTGCACACCGTGCACTGCTATACCAAAAACTTTTGTTTTAGCAAATGTAATTATTTATGGTAAAAAAGATAAATAATGCTGGGATGAAGCTGAATCTTAAAATTAGCAAATAGTTGAGGGTTGTTCAAATAAAAAAAATATAAAAAAATGAAGACTGAACAAACATTCATACCCTGGTTCACTGGAGATCTGTCCTTCTTTTGTGGTCACTGTCTTCAGATATAAGCCTTCTGGGAAGCCTAATAGATCGTGTTGATTTTCTTTGAGGCATTTCCATAATTTCATGCTGGCTTTTTATTCTAATTAGCTTCCCCGTTCCGTTATCTGCTTTCACCGCGGCGTTGCGCTCCGTTTCAATCAGGCCGTACAGCAGGATTTCCCCTCATAGCAATATTGTCCATAACTCTGATTGATCCATGCTATAGAATCGGAAAGCAGCTTTTATGTACTTTCAGGAACCGTTTGAATGTTTTGAATCTGATCAGCCATTCAAAAGTTATAAAACGGAGCAATTCGGATGACAAACTCAGCATGTCTCTGAATCTGTGTAGTGATTCGTTTAGCTCAAGACAGGGAATCCCGATGGCTACCTTAATGTATTGTATATGCACGAAAAGCCCCATTTTTAATATTTTCAGCACTTTTGGAATTTTACAGATATCCTGAACGGTTCAGGAATTATGGCAATGAGAAGTGCGTGTCAAATCCCATCAGCGGCGACAGGTAATAAGAGGAAAAAAGTGGGTACAGTGGAATTTTCCAGGTAAAAAAGCAAAAGAAAAGCTAGCAGCAGCTAAAGAACATTCTAGAAAGTGAACAGAAGCTCCTAACTGGGAAAACGAAAATATCCAACAAGTGTCTAAACCCCTCTGGCGTGTCCTTTTCTACCGCTACCTTTAGAGACGCAACAGCAGAGCAGGATCACGGCGATGCCAGAGACAGGACCCATCTTCATCACCTTCAGCTGAAATGAAGCAGTTTCCATTAACGAGGTTATTTCCTGTCGCTGCAGACACTTGTCAGGCTCTTGCTGCGCGCGTGTCACCGCACGTTTGAGCTGATGGTTTAGAAAGGAAGTGATCCAAGAGGCCTTATCTGCCTTCAAAGAAGAACCAAGTCGTTTTTAGCTCAACGAGACTCGTCTTTGTTTAACTCAGCAGTAAAATCTGTTTTCTCCAGTCACACATAAACACAACACTTTAGTCCAGGAGCTAGCTTTTATAAAATACAGATTTACTGAGTTTGTTTTCTAGTTTGAACCTAGAATAAACGTCCAAATCAACCATCATTTGACCCTTTAAAAAAGTCCTATTTTTGCTACAAAGTCTGACTGAACGCACTGAGGCTCGAACTTTCTGCAGGTTGAACTGTCAGAGGGCCACGTCGCTTGCCTCCAGCTGCTGAAATGTGTCACCTCAGATGAAAACAGGGCAGCGTTTGCTTGTTTTTGTCTCACAAACACGGGAAACGTGTCAGTGAGCAGCAGAACGGCTGAGCTGCTGCTCTTCACACCACCAGGAGGCGAAAACATAAGAGACTGAATACCAAACGTGAGAACAAAATGATTTTCTAAATCCTAACTGAAACGTTCCGTAGATTAAAGTTTCTGTCAGGATTTTCTTTTACAATTTTCCCGTCAGTCCTGCTTTTAGTTTCACTCATCCTATCCGCTTTTCCTTGCAGGCTTAGCATCAGATAATCACACTGATGTCCGCTGAGTTCCTCACTAAAGGTTCTGTTATTCCAACGTTTTGTTTCCCTCCTCCTGTTCACTAAACGCCTCGGCCATCTTCCGCTTAAGGTTTACAGGCAGAAATAACCTCAGGTAAGACAGCCTGGAGGCTAATAAACACCTCTGATGTTAGCTAGGCTAAACCCTGCTAGCACCATAACAGGACCACTTCTCTCTGTGGGTTATTCTAAATGTGATTCATGAATATGAAAAGAATGAATTAGATTTTTCTCACAAATAACTGCAAATAAAACTAATTCTTAGAACGCATCACTTTCAAAAGGTGAGACACGTTGAAAACCTTCCACTGGCGTCTGAGGGGCGATGATGGGATCGCCAAAGCAGACTCTAGGGCTTGTTCATCGTTCCTGGCCTAAATGTTGATGTAGAAGACCCGGAATGTCCACTCCCCAGCCCCTCCACCAGGATCCGGATCGGTCTACACAAACAATCCACAGCGTCCACTCCTGGAAAGAATTTTCTTAATCCTGACGTCATACCTGCACCACTACTCCCGTCTCTGCCTGATGTTAAAGCCCCTCACGTTATCTCTGTGGTTGAGCAGAAGAATGTCATTTTGACCGACTGTGTTTGTGATTTCATTATTCCAGTCATTACCCACGTCTCATAGATGAAGGCTGGAGTGTAGACCAACCAGCTTAGCCGTCCTGCTTTTGCTGTCATGGTCTGCGTCCTGCATCTCCCTCATGTGTCTCCTTGTGTTCCTCATGTGTCTCCTTGTCTGCATTCCTCCTCAGGTGCCTCCTTGTGGTCCCCAGCCCTTCCTCCAGGTTCCCATCATGTGTCCCTAAGTCTTCTGTGCCCCTTTTTGTCCCCAGCTCACTTCCGGTTTCCCTCAGGTCTGTCCTAGTCACCCCTCTGTAGTATTTTATAGGTTCAGCTGTTCATTTTAATAGTCTCCTTTTGTGTGTGTTTTCCTTCCCCACTTGTTAATTTGTCTCCCTCACTCCTCAGGTCATTAGTTATTTATCTTTGGTTCTCCTGTGCCCTTAGTCTTTCAGGTTTATTTATTTAGAGATTATTTAGAGAATCATAGGTTAAGGTTTATTCCCTCTGCTTAGTTTTCCCTTCCCATTTAGTTAATTATTTTCACCAGTCTCTCCCCACGCACCTGCTCCTCGTTCTCCCAATCACCCAGCTCCTGTGTATAAAACCCTGTCTGCGTCTCAATATGTTGTTGGTCCATTGTTCATGTCAGCGTTGTTTTGTCCCCCCTCCTTCGTGGTCTCTAGGTCTCCAGGTTTCTAGGATTTTTTGGCTTTCGTGCCCTGCTTGGATTAAATTTTTTTTGACATCCTAATGAAGGAATGTTTTCTTTCACATCCTCTCCTGCATCATGTCGTTCTGGGTATCTACATTTTGGGTCCTGCTCCATCATCACTGAAAGAGACAGTCCAGTGTTAGCCTCTCCATAAAAGCTGTCTCAACCCTCACCCTCCTGTCCTCACTCATCAACACTGAGACACTTAAAGGTGTGATTGGCTAAAAAAACATTTTTAATTAATATTTCTGATCATAATCAATCACCCTGAATTTTTCATGCAGGTTGAACATGAAAACAGTCTCCTACACATATCTCTTGCTTTAGATTCCGATACAAAATAGTGAAAAGCTAGGATTTGAAAACCCTCACACTGTGATGTCACACTGTGAATTAGCATTCATGGCCTCACCCTTGTTGGCTTGCACCCACCCAGAGAAAGTATATTTTTTACACACACACACACACACACACACACACACACACACACACACACACACACACACACACACACACACACACATATATATATATATATATATATATATATATATATATATTTTTTTTTTTTTGGCTGCAGTGAGGAGAGAGCGAAGAGTGCCTGGTGATAGTGACTTTGCTCCATGGCTGACTGTGTTCTGTTAGCCAATCAGAAGCGAAGTGTGTGCATATCATTAATAATTATGAGCAATCCTGCTGTTTTCTGCCCACCTTTGTACCAGCAAACTTCTGCATCTCAGAACAGAAGCATCATAGCTGTTTTTAAATGACACATGAGGCATTGATTTACTAGTGAACACTGCAAATGTGTCGAATAAACGAGTGAACCACACCTTTAAACTCCTCTACTTGAGCTACGACCTCTCTGCTGACCTGGAGTTAGCTATCCAGCCTTTTCTGGTTGAGAAAAATGGTCACAAATTTGGAGGTGATGAACCTCATCCCAGCTGCTTCACAATTGGCTGTGAACCAACTGAACATCACAATGGCGACTGTAGGGATGAAACACTGTCCCAGAGTCCCAAAGTGTCAAAGGGCAGATCTCCAGAGGAGCCAGTTGAAGTGGCTCGGGCATCTGGTTAGGATGCCTCCTGGACACCTCTGATGAGGTTTTCTGGGCACGTCCAACCAGGAGGAGACACAAGGGAAGATTCAGGACACGTTGGAGGGACTATGTCTCTCAGCTGGCCAGGGAATGCCTCGGTGTTCCCCTGGAGGAGCTGGCTCATGTGGCTGGGGAGAGGGAAGCCCACTAATCACTGAGTGAGAAACCAGGCTGTCTTTGTAGCAAAGGGGAGGCAGCATAAGGGGGTCTTTGGTCATTTAGAAGAGGTCAGCTTGCGATGGCCACAGACATATACAAAGACACAACGTGGACTGGTGCTGCCTATTGGAGCTAGAGTAGCAGCTAGCCACCATCTTGGATGGGTCTTCATTCTTTCCCAGTGCATTTATTTCTACTGAGGAAAGTGCATACTCAACTAAAAAACACATTTTATTACGTTTTTATACAAATTCAGACATGTGGTATGGCATGATAATTAAAATATATACACAATTTAATAAAAACATATAAAAATACATAAAATCTCAACAGATACACTGGAAAAGTCAATAATACACTGTAAATTCTAACAAGTTAAGTTTACTTGAAAATATTTAGGAAACCGATTACCTGGAGAAAAGTAATTAAATAAACTTAATTGTGGAAAGTATAGTGAAATTATTATATGTGAGTGAGCTGTACATATTTTGAAGTTGATAAAATAGTTTAGTTAAATTCAAATCAAGTTGGGTTGAAAAACTTGCTTGTTAGAACTTCAGTGCAGCTGATTTCTTCCTCTTTGTTCCGTGCTTCTCTGTTCAGTCTCTAAAGAGTCAGATCCCCTCAATGGTATCTGGTCAAAACTGGAATAAACCAGGTTTTTGGTGGGTGCAACCAGGCACACTTGATTATTTCAAGTAGTTTGAGCTCAAACATATAGGTACAATAAGCTAGGCCATTAAAAAGTACAGTTTACTCAAATTTATATGTGATATTAAAATTACACATGTTAAAGCAATATGAACTAAGTTTGTTGAAGTAGACAGTACTGAGTGGACTTAAAAACACAATTATGATAATAAAGAATATGAAACAGCTCAGCTAACTCAGGATTAACAAGTAATGCTAAAAAAGCTAACAAGATAATTTGAGTTGAATCAAAATCTGGGTTTACAGTGTAATCCCACATGATCTGTTTTCAATAATTGTTGCAACCGTAGGCTGCACAAAAAACAAAACAAACAAAACAAATTAAATAAACAGGCATAGTTGCCCACCTTTTGTTGATTCCATTTGGGTTTGGAGAGTGAGGAACCCACCCAATATGGCAACGTTTTGATGCTCCCCAGCGTTCAATGGGGCGTCTTCATATTCATGTCTATGGTGTGGCGTCATCCGTCTCCACGTTACTTTGTTATTTACACTGAACATAATATTGTCTTGTATGATTAGCATAGAAGTAGCTAGCTGCCACACTTCTAGTGCACCCAGGGGTGCTTAGAGCACAAGATCAGGGCTGGAGCAAACGTGCGCTCGGAGGCTGAAGGTGTGATGTAATGACCTGTGGCTTCACTAACCCCAATCCTCTAAAAATCACAGATATACATAAAAACCAATTTTACATCCCACAGTGTGCACTTACTCCTGTTGTCCTCCAGGTGGTGCTGTTGAATGAAACCCTGACCAGAACAAGCCTCTCTGTTGGTCCACAGCTTCAGGAGTGGTTGTTGGGTCTCTGTGGGATAAAGGTCTGCTGTGTTTATAATGAGGATCTTAATTAGCTTCTGGACCTGAGGACTAATCCTGAGCTCCATATCTGCGGGTTTCCGTTTTTATATTTGCCATCATGATTAATGAGGAAAGGGTTTAAAGAATCTGTAGCTATAGAACCCAGTTTTATCAGCATGTGTTTAAATAAGACTGACTCGTTTTTTAGCTGCAGAGTCCGGGGAACGCAGAGTGTCAGAAGATGAAAGCTGTGCCCCTGATCTCTGACAGCGTGAGAAGAACTGAAGCTGGGTCCAGATCTGAATCCTGATGCAGATCCTGGTCAGACACACTGACCGGGCTCCAGAGACGGACACAGATGACCCTTTTCTGTTAAATGGGTCTTTATAAATAGATCTGATATTTTCCACTGCTCTGGTCCAACTTCTCTCTACATGACTCAAAGACACAAATCCTTCAGATACTCCAACATCCAATCATGGCCTTCCATCTTACATCCACCAGCCAATCAGAGGCCTTTATGAAGTGAAACATGAAATCAAAAGGCTCAGAATAACTGCAGCCAATCAGATATTCCGTGTGAGAAGTGTGAGGGCTGCCCTTTAAACCACCACCCAGACGTTTCTCAGGGTTAGGGTTAGTTTCTGCTCTCACTACCTGAACTTTGATCTATGCAGAGTACAATCACTCTGATGATAAACATGGGGAACCTCTCACCGTTAAAAGTGATGCCTCCACTCCACCCTTACAGTCAGCCTCTGGGGACACAAGCCTTCCCCAGACCCACTA